CTGACATTTTCAATACTGTCCTTCAGCCATAATCACTGTCTGAAGCTGAAAATGAAGATGAATCTTAAGCAAGTGACAGGAGCAGAATCTGAGAAACTGAGAATTCAGGAGCAGTCAGCCAGCCAGTCAGTAGTCAGGAGGGAGGAGAGAAATGACAAGGAACTACCAAGGATGGTGGAAAAAGGAAGGGTATGGAATAAGGCAGAATGAAGATTGGGGATTGAGGAATCAGGAATGGTAATGGGCGGCTGGGTGGATGAAAACCAAGGTTACTGTCTCCCCCGCGTAATTGCGCATAAAAATGAAGCGATTTATATGCGCGTATTTTTAATGTTTCATAATTGGGTAAGCCCATCAGCAGGATCTGAAGCGGGGGGAAAAGGAGCAGGGATCTGCCTCGCCTCTTTCTCTGTTTGCTAGTGCCTGTGTTTGTGTGTGTGTGTGCGTGTCTGTTACCTTATCTCCTCTGTAAAGTGATATGTTAATGTTTGTCATACGCACACACGCGTGCCATATTAAATGTCGGCTTTTCCTTCAGCGACACTCTATTCTTTTCCTCATTTTCCTTTTGCCCAAAGAGAAGTGAGGAAAAAGATGAAAAACTTAAATAATATCATGGCTTATACATTTTTAAGAAAAAAAGTGTTACTTTTTTTGAAACCACAGTGCGTATGCTTAACTTTTACCCCAAGGAAAATAAACTTTAGTTTAGTAAATCAAATTTTTTTTAAAAATACATACTTAATTAATATTTATTTCTATACAATTTCCAATCAAATGAAGTCATTTAAAAAATCCTTTAAAAAATCGCAATTTTTTATGCCAAATTGGCAAGCATAAACTTGATTTTCCCTGCCTTTCCCTTTAATATTTTTCCCTATAAATTTGATTTTCTCATCAAACTGAAATACACAAGGAATTGATTGGAGTCATAATGACGAGGAGCAAACAAAAATTAATTGTCCACGCAGTGGCGAGCAATTAAAACTTTATCGATGATGGGACAATGGTAATAATGCGTTTTGTAATTACTCGTACAATCGCAGCTCGCACATCGAATAAATACCCAATGTAATGACAAAAACATTGATAACATCTCAACCGGAAGTGTCAAACACTCTGGCTATTTATATGCCCATGATAAGAATGAAAATGAAATGAAAATCACAAAATGAGTGGGGAAACTTTCAAGCACACACCGATAACGATAATCGCTCTCTGATGATTTTCATAAATAAGCCGTAATTCATTTCTTAATTTAACAGCATAATGACCGCTGTTATTTGTATTCATTCCTTGGAAGTCCATTTCGGGATATATATATATATATATATTTGTTTGTGGGAAGGGGCGGGGCGGGGGCAGTGTTCATTAAAATTGAAAAATGCCACTTTAATGAATTTATTTGCGACACTTAACACAAGCACAAGTAAACAGAGAAAAATGATGTTCATTAACATAAAAATTTCGCTTCTTCCACTACAGTGGCCATTGTTATGGGCGCCCCCAGCTCCAGATGTAGCATCTTCCCCTGCTGGTAATACACTTGCGAAAATCTGTACTTAAATGGTAAGCTCTTATTTTAATGTTATTTATATGAGAGCAAAATCAGATAAACCAGACGTTTTTGTACAGTTTAGTAGTAAAATCGAACAAAAATCAAAATTAAGAGCAAGCGAGGCTGCTAATAGGCTGCTCAGTCCAAGTTTCGCAATGTTTTCGTTAATATTTCATTCTTAAAGTCTAGTTAGATCGTCTAAGATGATCTTTTGGATCATCAAATCTTAAAGAGAAAACAAACGACCCACCGTCGAGATCAAATTCTATATGGGATGAATATTCCTATCATATGAATGAATATAGAATATAAGCTAAGTTAGTCCCTTAACTCGCTTAAATATAGTAAAGATCAAAACTTTATAGAAGGCTACCCATTCCGCCACTCCAGGCTCATGAAATATCAGTTAATATCAGTCAAAATAGTCGAGAGAAGTCTAACCCATTTAATTTTTATAAGAGACCTACCAAGGCTTTAGTTAGTGGCTAACATAATCAAGGAAAATTCGACTATTAACAGCAATTTTTAAAAAAAATTGTAATATTTAAACGTAAGCGGAATATTCAAATTTTAACAGAAAATTTTTGAATTTTAAGCAAGTTAACTGGAAGTTAAGTTTTGAATGTTACCCGCCCGTTAACGGCTGTGTTAGCTCAATGTTAATTTTTCCCACACCGGGCTCCTTATAATTCCCAAGTAGTTCTAGCAGGAATGTTATGACTAGGCCGCTGTTGGCCGGTGAAAATCAGTCAAGTCATTTTTGTGTGTGTGTGTTTGTGATAGTTAAGTGCCTCCAAGTTGTCCAGTGGTACTCGCCATCACATTGGTGGTACATGGACATGGCCTCCTTGGAGGATGCAGTGCATCATGGATTTTTTTCAGGAGTCCATTTTTGGGACTTCTGATGACGTCGACATGGACATGGCCTCCATGGAGGATGCAGTGCATCATGGATTTTTTTCGGGAGTCCATTTTTGGGACTTCTGATGACGTCGTTTCTGGATTTAAATGACGATGCGAAAAATGGACATTGCCTAGCAGGAAATCATGGTAAGTGGCAAACTTTTTGTTTTCTGTTGCATAAGCCAAGGGGTTTGTTCAGTCCGTAGCCGGCAGTGCTTGCGATGGCTTCTACATTGCCAGAGCAGCTAAGATCGGCTATAGATGCTAAGTTTTGCAGCCTTTAGTTTGTAATATATCTGTATAAGCGGAGGAGTTTCAAGGTGCTTGCGGAGTGTTTGGAAAGTCAGGATATCGGGGAAAACCAAAAATTGAATTTTATAAGGGATAATATCTTTTCTTACGATAACGTTAACGTAATTTTTGCGAGTGTTCTTGGACCCCAGTTTGTAGTCCCTTCGCTGACAGTTGGTGGGTTTATGGGTTCGTCTTGGGGCTGGCAATTGTCATTACCGTTTCGACTATTGTCAAAGCTGTTAGCCTGCAATTGATGAGTCAATATGTCAACGACTGACAGGTCACGTTGCATCGCACCCTCGCCATTAACTCCACCCCTTGAACTCTCAACACAAGTCAACTCAACACAACTCAACGTGGCTCCCCCAAAACAATTCCGCATTAATTTTCAAATAGTTAACATTCAGGGTTTTATTGCTTCAGAGTTCCAGAGGCAATTGCTTGTGAGGTAATTTAATTAATGCGACTTTCAATCAGGCAACCATTCTGCTGTAATCAGTGTCACTCCGAGAAGGGAATTATTATTATCATTTATGATTTATTTTTCGGATGGAATAATGAAAGCATTGCAGACACTGAACCCAGTCAATAAGTTGGCTACTTTATTGCCAATTTTGACAAACAGCCAAAGTTTTTATTATAAAATGTATAAATTAAGTTTGGATAAAGGATAGATTCCCATTAAATCCAATTCGTTATCTTAAAGAGAAGTCCTTGAAAGGAGTGCCAGTCCCCTTTGCTTGCCTTGCCCTCTGTTTGGTGGCCACTCAAGTTGGCTAAAGAGGCGGTAAAGTGTCCCTGAAGCTGTTGGCCCAAAGTCGGTTGGCCTGTAATCGAAACTGTAAACTCGTTGGCACTCGCATGTGTTTATTGGATCTCCAGGGGGGGCTTGTAAGGGTTCGAAAGGGGAGCACAGGAGTCATGGGTGGAGGTTGACAGGTCAAGAAGTCAGGCTACTAGCAATTACATTTGACTTGTTGTTCCTTTTCATGCACACAGACAAAAGTATGGTATTTTATTATAGAAGATTAAGAATTAAAAGCAAATTATTATGAAGTCTAAAAATATAGCAAAACATTCATGAAAGCGAAAGTGTAGACATTCGAGAAGTAATATTTGTTTAGTGGTATGAAGTTTTTAGCAGTGTACCTGCTGCAATTGCTGGTGAGAAACATCAGAGATCGGGATCCCTGTTGTCCAAAGGCGAAAGGCTAATTCAATTGCTTAGGCGCTCAATGAACAGAACCAACAATCCGCTCGGCAAATTGCTTAATGCTTCAAGTCACGTGTTCGCCGGCTCACCATATTGCCACCGCTTTCTGCGGTTAATTTGCCACATCGACATCAGACTGGGGTCTAGGCAACAACGCCCACCCCCCACCAAAATCGCCATGATTTGCATGGCTCTTTCCCCTCAACCAAACCCCACCTTTCCGTAGCTTTTGGCCAGATTTTCCCCATGGAGTCCCATGGTCAACAGTTTTTGCTGCCATGGGACAGGCTTAGAGAAGTTGGGGAAATCTAATGGTCCCAGTTTAAAATGTTTATAAAAGAAAAAATCTACAAAAAGTGAGATTATTTAGTGATAAATTTTCGATTTATTAAAGTTTTTAATACAAATAGTTTTGAAAATCTTTTTTTTCAAACTATATAAATTACTAAAAATCATAATTATACCATTTATTAAATTAAAGCGCCTTCACTATATTTAAATTTATATTTTCTTTTTTTTAAATTAAGATAAATTTTATATATTACAAAAATAATATTTGTTTAAAATTTTGTTTGGTAATTAGAAGTTCAGAGAAACATTTTCAAAACTAGAAAACTCAAAAAATGACTTTAAAAAACAATAAATTAATGAAAATTAAAATATTTTACAGATATGCACTGCATTGTGTACACTGCTTACAAACTTTGCGGTAAGCTATAAACTGCTTCCTACTGAAGGAGTACAATACAAGGCTGCTGTTAACAAGGAACTGTAACATGAAACTAAATTTCGAAGTTGCTGTTAACTTTTAGCACAATATCTAATAAGAACTCTAGTCAAGTTATAAACCGAATGTGCTGAAAAACCAAGCAGTTCTTTTCACTTAATACTGCTTACAAGAATGGCGGTTATTTTTGAATTAACGATTTACAGTTTCCATCTCTTTTCTTTTCGCAGCCCAAACGATTTTCCATTTTTCTTGGATAAAATAAATATTTTTCCCCAAATTTAAGCCAAAATCAAAATAACAGCTTTAACTTGCAAAATTTACTTTATTTTAAGCTGGTAAATAAACTTGAAAAACATAAAATAACCTATAAATGCTAACCGAATACGAAACATTACCCATTATTCGCAAATAAAAATTATAACCCGCTTCTATACAATACGTTTCTTAGAAAGTCTTCCATTAATTGTCGCTTGAACTAATATTCCTACATTCTCTATTTCTTTCGAAGATCTACTAGAATGTCCTACCTGTCAATCACTTAAGACGCTACCCGCTTCGAGGGGTAAATCGCATATACTACGACCCTAACTTATTATCTAACGAATTGTACACTTTAAAAAAAAAATAAATGTAAAAAATATAGTAAGTTTTAGTTCCGTGTGGGATTTGGTTCGGGTTATGGTGCTCCATCGCCGGTATTCGCTAGTTATTGGAGTCAGTATAGTGTTTCCTTTTTAGAATATGGTGTCCTCTGCTGGTTTCTTATACACCCGCCCCTTCTTCCTCATGTACTGATTGATGAAATCGTAGGATTTGTGCTTGACCGATTCTGTGCAGGACAAAGGATTCCCGGTAACTTCGCAGTATCGCACTTCCTTGTTGGTAATATGATGGCTTAGCTGAAGTGGGAAAGATGATGAAATAAAGGAAAAGTTTACCAGCAAATACAATCCCTAAAACTCACCCTCTTAATCAAGAACTTGTAATCCTCGTCGCTGGTGATCCGTCCCAGTTGGCAGCTCTCCTTGCGGTAAGGACGCAGGAAATCGGCCACATGTCCGCTGATCTCGAAGCGGAACTTCTCGTTGGCCTCACGTCCGCTCGTGACGGACAAAAGACTGTGGGAACTATCAATTAAACACAAAATCAGACTAAACTCAAAAAGGGTAATCTACCCCAGAAGGAGGCTTACCTCTTGCTCTTTTTGCTACGATGCTCCTGGCGATGTTTCTTCACTGGCACATGCGGCGGCATCGGTAGCTTTCGCTTGTTGCCACTCACTCCACTACTGGCCGGTGTGGTTTGGCCAGTGGACTTTCCAAGGGCTGCCAGAGCAGCATGGCTAGTGCTCGGTCCCAGGTTAAGTGAATCCAGTTCCTCCACCTGTGCCACACTACCATCTGCGACGGGTGGCTCAGCAGACGCATCCTCGTCCGAAGAGTATAAATATGCCTGGATGGGCAGAGAGTTAGTGGCGGCAGCATCATCTGGATTGGCCGTGGGTTCCGTAGCTGTGGCAGTGACGTCGATCTTGCGACGACGATAGAACTCCTTGCGTCGTCGGATCTTCTCCTTATTCTCTTTGTACTTTCGGGACTCTAGCTGATTGTATAGGCGATCCTCATCTCTTCTGGGACTGATCACGCGAATCGAGACTAGTCGATTGCGACGCAGCTCGCGACGTTCCTTTACCTTGGCCTCGACATATTGGGCCAGAGATTTGGAACTCAGTGAGCCCACATAGTCCGTGTCGACCTGAATCAGTTCAGTGGCCAAGACTGCTGGATCGTTCTGTAGCTCATGAAGCGGTTGCTGTGTGGGATCCTCTTCGACTAGTGTCTGAAGACGTTGTTCCGGAGTTGGTGGCTCCCATTGCGATATTCGTTCGCGTAGATTATAGTAATATATATCGCCATCGCTTGTCAACCGCCAATGCCAAGCTGGCGGCAAAGGATCCACTCCAGCTGGCAGCTTGTACTCAACGGCCGGGGGAGCAGACTGTCCCCCGTCCACGGCAGGCGAGAGCAGCGCCTGCGTCAGAAGCTCTGTGCGCTGCGGGGCGGGCACTGGTATATCATCGCTGTTAAACCATTCGCCAGTTTCCGAATTCTGATAGAAGGGCAGCTGCTTGGGATCTGTATTCAAATCGGCGCCAAAGAACTCACAACGCAGCTCATGCTCCCGCCAGTCCTCGCTGCAAACACGTTTCTCGGCCTCATCCAGGGCAACCTGAATATTGAAATAGGTTATTAATACTCCTTTGTGGCAATTTGTATTTTCCAAAACTTACCTTCCTCTCGAACAGACTTCGCCTGAGCTCCTTGGATAGGGTACGTCTTGGTTCTGTAGAGGGTCCCATGTCGGATCTACGTCGACCATCGTTCCTGGACATACCATCTATGGATCCATTGCTACCCTTCGCTTGGGTGGTGATGGTGCAAATCGTATTGTTACCACTCATGCGAATGGGTTTGCTAACCCGGCTGCTGGTCGTGTCCCGTCGAAAACGATCCTGTCTGAAGCGATCGCCACTGCTTTCGCGTTCCCGTTGATCCTCCAGTGCGGTGCTGGCATGAACATGCTTCTGCTGGCGATCCGCCTCCCGTTCGTGCTCCTTCATCTGCTCGATTCGCTCGCGCTTGGGAATGCGGAAGATCTCTGGCAGGGCTTGCCATTTCTGGAGCAAGGCAACCATTCGTTTGTGTTGAGCCACCTGCTCGCTTTCGGCCGTTGAAGCCAGACGCTGTTCCAGGCTTGTACTCCACAGCTGGACACTCTGGTAAACGCGACTGTCATTCAGCATTGTGCGATTTGGAATGGGTAGTGATTCAAGGGTGTCTAGCAAAGCAATTCTCAACTGGTCATCGTTGCCATTTTCGCTTATCCAGGCATGCAGCAATCTCAGGCCATGGTAGTCGAGGAAAAGTCTGCGGCATGGTAATTCTCCACGAGTCAGTACAACCAAGAGTTGTAGTCGGGTCTGAAGAAGCTTGGCACGAACCATGCACCGGGAGAACCGCAGCGTGTCGAGCTGGTTCTTCAGCCCGCTGCGGCTGAGCAGTGAAAGTTCCTCCAGCACATCGGGATCCTCGAGCATTGCGTGGAATTTGCTGACCTTTGGCTTCCTCGACGCCTTCTCTGCCGTTCCTGATGAACCACCAGAAGTGGGTTTCAGCCAGCGACCGGCTTTGTATTCCCGGTCCTTGGGCTTGGTCTGCTCCTTGCGCTTGCGATTGGCGGTCTGAGGTAACTTTCCCTTTAGCTTTGACTTGGCCTTGGCCTTTGTTGTCTTGCGGGACTGACCATGTTCCTCCCCAGCTTCTTGCTCCAGTTCCTCTTCATCCATGTCAGCCTCGGTGTCGCTATCCACATCCATTTGTTCTCCCTCATCAGAATCTGGTTCGCCTCCTATCCATCCTCTGCAGTTTGCTGCCTCGCAGTAGCAACGCTGTGCATCGCGGCCATATCTCTGATACTGGTAATCGAATGTGATCTCCTCACCGGGTTGGATCGGTTTCACACTGAAGAAACCAATTCGCAGCTCTCCGTTGACTGTCCACTTCTGGGTCTCGGCATTCGGGTCACAGCTGTGATTAATGTACCGCGAAATGTTTCCCTTGGAGGTCGCGTCAATGATGGCTTCTCCTCGAAGAGCCATAAAATAATAGTGACGATTGCGATCCTTCGAGTACAGATGCTGTCGTCGCTCAAACTCCTCGCTGTCGATTACCTCACCCACATACTCCATGATGAATTCACCTGCAGGCATTTGTAGTTCGGCCGTGATGCCGCATCCCTTCTTCTCTGTGCGAAAAACACGACATGGCCAGCATTGATGCTGTTGGAAGCGCTTATTGGTGCATCGCTGGCCGTTGGTGCACAGCGGACCGCACTCGATCATCAGCATGCGGTTGATGCAGCCAGAACCGCAGCTCAGATGACCCTGTGCCTCCTCGTCGCCAGTAAGGAAGCAGTCGCACTGCATCTCTGCGTTCTCTTGGCTTACCTAGAACAAGAATTGGTATTAGTTATTATCAGATGCGATTGATGAATCTAATCTTTACTAACCTGTCTGGCACAGCGGTAGTAGTTCTCCCTCAGAAGCTGGAAAGTGTTGAGTCCCTCGCTGCGTAGGAACTGCTCGTTTATGGCTTCGATATTTGCCAGCTCGGCCAACTGTTCGCCCATGCTAATCGGTGCCAGTGCCATACTGGCCACGCCTCTTCCCTGGCTAGCCCGCGGTCCCTGCGGCTTTTGCTTGATTCGATGGGATCGGCGCACGCCACCACCAGAGTTTTCCTGAAGAACACTGGTATTGGAAGCAGAGTCTTCCGGGTTGGATTGAGTTGGTGAAGGCGATGGCGTTGTGGCCGGCGTTTCCATATTAGCCACTCGTTGCGCAAACTCATCCTCTTCGGGATTTGAATCCCTTTTAGCCTCTTCCTGTCCCTCCTCCTGTTGGTCTTCCTCAACTTTATAATCGCGCTTGAGAAGATTAACTCCGTCTTCGATGAACTTGGCAATATCGCTAAGCGGATTGGTAGTCTCTAGCTCGGGGGAACTTTGCACATTCCAGCGTCGCATCTTACTGCCGGACGATGTGGATTCGGACGACTCCGTTTCTATGAGAGCAGCATTTAAAGATTCCGCTGATTTTAGGGCCTTCTTTTTCGAAGGTCCTTGGGAAGCACTTGAACTGGAATCCAGTGAACTCTGACGACTAGGCGGTCCCTTACCGGACTTTCGGCCTCTCTTTTTGGCAGTGGGTCGAAGCAGGGTGTCGTGTAGAGGATTTGCAGATGCCTTCGGATGCATCGAGTAGCGACGCTTGGTCAGCGGAACTGGTGTGACGGTCTCAGCTTGACGGTCCTCGCAAACGGTGTTTCGTCGATGATCCAACTTTGAACCTTTGCTTGGTTCAGTTGTAGTTGCCTTAGATTGATTTCGTTTCGAAGAGAACTCCGATGAGGAGGAAAATGGCGAGTTAGCGGACACCTCCTCCGTGGGTGAGCTGCTCGTTCTGAGATCTTTAGCCGACTCACAGATCGTGCTTCGCCTGGGATTTGGCTTCTTTTTGGTCTTCGATCGTTTTAGTTTGCTAGAAATTGGCATGGCTATTTGGTTAGAATCAGAGCTTGGAGAGCTGTTCCTGTCCGGTTTGGGTGAATCTTCATAAATGGTGTTCCGTCGCAAACTGGCCTTGCCTCCCAGAGACTTCTTTTGGCCAACAGCTGGCGTGGCTGTGGCAACGGGAACGGGTGAGTCCACCTTCGGCGGTACTTTCTTTAGTTTTTTCTTGCTCTTCTCCTCGAGACGCATCTGGGCATTGGCCTTATCCATCGCCTTGAACAGGGCATCGCACTCAACAAAGCCTGGAGCTAGCTTATCTTTGTACTTACTGGAAGAAGGATCGGACAGTGACTTCTTTACAGTTTGTTCCTCTTTAAGAGCCTCTGGTGCAGGAATTTCAGATTCACTAGTTGGGTGCTTTTCTGATGAAGATTTCGAGATCTCTGGTGGTGCAGTGGTTGGTGGTGGTTTTAATTGTTCCTTCTTCGCAGAGGAAGCAACTTCTGGTGGGCATTTGGCAGTTTCTTTCTCCTTTTTAGAGACTAAATCAGTAGTAGAAGGTTTCTCGGCCGCTAATATAGATAATTTCGAAGAGGGCTTCTCCTTTTCGATTGCCTTCTTGGAGGTAGATTCTTTAGACGATTTAACACTCGGTTTCGATTTCTTCATTTCGATTTCCTTTAATGATTTAATGTCTTCCTTTTGTTTTGCTGAAATATTTTCTGACAACTCTATTGATGATTTGTCAAGTTCCGTTGGTGAAGCCTTTTCCTTTTTGACAGTCGGTTCTGACAGAAATTTCAGGGCCTCCATTTTCTCTAAAACTTCCGCTTTAATTTGCTCCTGTTGTGGTTTGTCTTCCTCCGTTTTCGGCACAGCTATATTCTTTTCCTCCTGTTCCTGTCGAATTTTCTTAATTTCCGGCAGGGATTTTGACCCTTCAAAGTCATTCCCGGCCTCCGCTTTTTCTGGAACCTCAACTAGCACGTCTTCCTTGGCCGACTCAGTCTTTAAGATAGTGATTTCAGTCTTCTCCACCTCAATTATCGACTTTTCCTTTGTTGATTCATCGCATTTTACTTCTCCAATTGCTTCATTTTGAGTCTCGGGTTCTGGAACATCTATATGAGCCATGTTAGTATCGACTTCTATTTGCGCAAAATGTTTAGACTCGGAAATAGCCTCCGTACGCTCAGTTTCGGGGGGAACCTTCTCAACCGGCTTTGGATCATCTATCAGATCCTGTTCTTTTACGTCTTCCATAGATGGTTTTGTTTCTGCAATTGATTTGGTATCAACTTCTTCAACGGCCTGAGAATCTACAGAGTTTGCTGATTTAGTTTCCATAGACACTTCTAGTTCTGTAACATCTTTCTCCTTTGAAACCATTTCGATGACCAGTTCTGGATCTTTGTTAGCCCTTTCTGGCTCTGCAACTTCTTTGGTGACCAATTCTTTCTCTAGTTCAGTGTCTTCTTTCGGCTTAGGAACGACTTCTTTCGACTTTGAAACGATGATAGTAGACTCTGGAACAACTTTTCCTAGATCTGGTGTGACTGACCTAGCCTCTGATGTCTCCAAAGGAACTTTAAGAACCAATTCCACTTTGGTAGGGGTTATTTCTACCTTCTCCTCCGTCTTGTTCTCAGTTACAATTTCTTCCACCGTCCTAATGGATGCTTCCGGCGACGGAGCTTCAGGCTGACTTTGGCTGTCCTCAATCAGATGTATTAGCACATGGTCCTCCTCGTGGTCCTGTGACTCCTCCAGAATCTGCTTGCTGCTCTCGGCCGCAATCTCAGCAAAAGTCTCCTCGAGAGTCATTCCCTGACGGCTGCTGCCACTTTGTTGTGCAGATCGTCTGCTGCGTCTGGGAGCTGGAGAAGATGACTCGGTTTCAGTTTCTGCTTGTGGTGGGGTGGCCCTTTCTATTGCCACATCCTCTTCCTCTTCGGCTTCGTCATCAGCTGACCAAAGGCTGGGCGGTCCACTTAGCACCTCCACCATCATCTCGTCGAGATCCTGTTCTGGATCTGGAGTTGAACTCTGCTTGGCTAAATCGATGTCGGCCAGTGGCTGTAGTTCCTTTTCAGCAGCAGGTTCTTGTTCCTGCTCCTCCGCCATCTTGGGACTCTCGGATTCGATTTCGATAAAGATGATCTGTGAGTCGGAATCTGAGTTGTCCTCTCCAACTACAATACGTGACAGCTTTTGCTCCTGGTCTGGCTGCTCATCCATGGCGTTCTCATCCTGCAATGCTGGTGGCTCCACTTCTGGTGATGAAGACATTGGAGAATTGCCGGAATCGGAAGACTCCTGCCTGCGGTTGAAATTCAGGCGCTTGAGTGAGACCCTTAACTTGGATTTGGGCTTCCGTTTGACAAAGCCAGCCGCCTCAGCACTATCACCACTGCTGCTCGTAGTGGAAGCCGTAGTGCTGGTGGAATTAGTATCCGAATCGCAACAAACGGGAGCGATGGCACTTGGTACGATGGCCACATCCGTTGGCTGGCTCTTTCTGGGACGACCTCGTTTGCGAGCGGGCGTCCCGGGAAGACTAGCCGCAGTCTGATGGGGATTGCCAACAACTGGTTCACTGGTCACTTGAGCCACAATCAAACTTTGGGTGGGCCGTGGCTTTGCAAAGATCTCCAAAGCTGGTGGAGGCGGTGGTGGTGGTGGCAATGACTGATGGCTACTCTCGAACATGGAGAACAAACGGCTAACTGGTGCGATGGAGCCAGCAGCTGTTGGTGTCGATGTAGATAGTCCTGATGTGCTGGGACTGGGATTCGAGTCGATGCGTGCCTCGATCTGTATTTTGTGCGCCTTCCGATTCTTATTGAGCAAATCCCGGACATCGAACTTGATGATCTTTTTGCGGGAACTGCGGCGACACTCGTTTTGACTGACATCCTGATCCTCTGCAGGAGTGAGCGATTCGTCTCCATCTGCTTTGTGGGATGATGAATGAGCAGGCTGGGTTGCAGCAACGTGAGGCGTTATTTTCGGTGGCCGACCTCGTCCGCGGCCACGTGACGCAACCACAACTGGAATAATCGGAGCAGACTCCTCCATTTCGCGGCCAACTGTCGACGGAAAAGCAATGGGCACACTACAATTGGCAACTTATGGTTAAACAATTTACACTTTAGAGGCGACGATGATGCCTGTTTTCGTGTCCAAATCACAGTGCAATCGGTTCTTTTAGTTCCATCTCAATCTGGAAAGATATTTACAGTTATAAACTAACTGCAAGTGCCGTCACATGCACACACACGCACAACACACATGCTCCAAGCCACAGACACATCCTTCGATTTTTTCCCCAGCTCTTCTTCCTCTTCTTCTTGTTTACGCACTACTGACAGTGTTGGTTATGTTATGTATGGCTTGGATGGAGGTTAACTGTGATTTTGGGGTGTTTGTACCTACTAAGCATGTGTGTCTGCTTGGAGATATTATCTTGCTAGCCTGTGCATGGTCACACTGGCGAAACAGAAATAGAGAGCTAGAGAGAGAACTTTCTGAAACGCAAATTCAAAAATAAACGTTCGCCGAACTAACTAACTGTTCATGTCGCAAAGTTAACAAAAACACATAATTATTTAATTCAGTTTTCTATAAAAGACCATCGTTGAAAATCCCACGCACATGTACCGTTAGATACCGGAATATCGAAAAATCGAAGTGCGTTAAATGTCAAGGACAACGGAAAAGCCACAACAAAATAAAAGGAACAACACAAAGAAAGCTAGAGGGAGAAAGCAACAACTAGGAAAGTTGTGAAAGGAATATAAGGAAACTACTTCAAGAAAAAGCGTAAACATGTCGAATCCGGTGCACGGAAGACCGCCAAATAGCTCAGGCTCCTCATCTGGCTCTGCCTCCTCGCCAATTTCGGTGACCGTACAGCCTGTAAACACTGGAAACAGTTCCTCATCCTCGTCCTCCTCCTCATTGGGCGGCGGAATCCTCAAGGACAAGATGGGACTACCACCAGTCTACCTCAACCTCAATGATGTAAGCCAGATTTCTTTTTGTTCTATTATCTATGTATTATCTTTGTAATCATCTCTTCCTACAGAATGCCAAGGATCAGACTCAATCCTCCTGTTCACCTCTGCAAAACTGGGACGATACTCGCACCGCCGACGTTTGGCTGTCCTCGCTGCACAGCGTCATATTCATCATCACCTGTGCCCTGGCCGCGTTCATTCTGTTCCGCAATGTTCTAACTTGGTAATTATTAGAATTTTCGAGGGAATTCGCTTTCTCTCATATTCTTAAGATCTCTCTTTCCTTGGCTGCTTAAATTTTAACACAAATCACAGATTATTCAAGGGATATGTGCGCTTTAGGGCCTAAGTAATTTCCTTTTAAAAACGAACAATTTTCACAGCCATTTCTTTTATAAAAGGTAGATAGAATTCTGTATTTTATGGTTTTAGATTATCAAAACAAATGTGATAAAAATTGAATCAAATATTGCATAGCTTTCTGAAAATGAAATGATCAGTAGGGGTATTCCAAGCTTTGCCAGCTGCAGGTGGACTTTCTCCCTCTCTTTTATTTTCGGCGAGAGTCTGGAATAAAGTTGAGCTTTGATTTTGTGAGCTGCGCTTTTCCAAGCGATCCGGCAATCAAAATTGCCAGTTGCTTTTGCGACGCTCAGCGGCGAAGACCAAGTGCGCAAAGAAAGCAAAAGAGAGGGAAAAAACAAAAGAGCAGAACGAAGAATCGGGAGAAAGCCAATTCTACAAGAATCAGAACAACATTGAGATTACGAACCATGGAGGATAAATTCATCGAGGTTTCTTATATCTATGCCAGGCACTTGCAGAGCTTTTGGGGCGCCTCCGGGGACTTCTGGCAGTCACAGTGGGACAAATTCATCGACTCGTTCGGTAAGTAAATCCAGAAAACTAAAAACAAACAAACAAATACCAAAACAAAAGAATAGAAAAATTCGCAGGTAAAATGGCGAGGGAAAAGAAGGCGAGGGGCATAACAAACTAAACTTTGCTCCTCTCGTTGTGCTTATGTGATATATTGTGCAAATTGCAATTCTCAGCCACTGGCGATACAACAAAATGTCAACATCAACTGTTTTGTTTACTAATTCCATTGCACAGACACAAAGATACAAAGATACGGACACAAAGATACAAAGAGACACATGCAAAAGATACAGATACAAACGCAGGCAGAAGTGCTGCCAATTAGCCGAAATGAATCGCCGCGTTACTCACTCAAATTTGAATTTTTCATTAAACAAATGTATAGTAAACATAACCCTCAATCTCGTATTGCTATTTTAGTTTTTTTTACCGTCGTTTTGTTAATATTCTAACTTTATTTAGCTAGTGCTAATATTTACATATGCATTTGCACAATAGGCTCAATGTTCTGCGCTTATTATTGCTTAAGCTTAAAGTCGGTTGCTAAATCAATCAGGGTTCATAGTTTAATTTGCATTTTTTTATATCTTTTTCACTTGTTAATTCACACCCTTTATTGCCTTTTGATTCTGTTTAATGCCTTTTATCTTTATGGGTTTATTAAGCAGCTTTATTCTTCTGACAACCAATCTCTAGCATTTTATTTCCTTTATTATTTTTTTAATATATTTTAATGTGCCGTTTATTAAACTTGTTAAAGAACTTCTTATCATTTGAGTTTTTACATTTATCTCTATATTAACTCTATCTCCTTAAACCAATCAATAAATAATAAATATCCGTATTATAACCAGGTGACGAGCCCATGGTGCTGTGGGTCTTTGGAACCACCATTTTTACGATGATCGTCTACTGGAGCGTGGGCACACTGTACACATTCATGGACCTGACCAACCGACCAGCCTGTCTGCGCAAGTACAAGATTCAACCCGGGACCAATGAGCCCGTTGAAGCGCGTCGTCTGTTAAAGGTACGAAATTGATCGATGGAAAAACAAAGATTCAATTGATCTTATGGCTGACCTCTATTTTAGGTGATATGGTGCGTGGTATGCAACCAAATATTCGTGGGAATACCGTTGGCCTATGCCAGCTACCGTCTGATGGAGATTCGTGGACTAAGCGACATTCGCGATTTGCCGACCTTTCATTGGGTCTGTTTCGAGTTGACCGTGTGCATCCTGATGGAGGAACTGGGCTTTTATTACTCACACCGCCTGCTGCACCACAAGCACATCTATAAGTACATCCACAAGCAGCATCACGAATGGACGGCCCCAATCTCGGTGACGGCCATCTATTGCCATCCGATTGAGCACATCTTCAGCAACCTGTTGCCTCCCTTCTTGGGCGTCTTTCTCATGGGCAGTCATGTGGCCACGGCGTGGCTATGGTTCGCCTTAGCTATCCTTTCAACGCTTAACGCACACTCAGGCTACCATCTGCCATTCTTTCCCAGTCCCGAGGCCCACGATTTTCACCATCTTAAGTAAGTCATAGGAATTTATTGATCTATCATTATTTAATACATCCTGACCATCGACAGATTCAACAATTGTTTCGGTGTTCTCGGCGTGCTGGATCGCCTTCATGGCACCGATTCCCTATTTCGGGCCACCAAGTCGTATGCGCGACACATCATGATGCTGAGCTTTAAGCCGCCGCGCGATGCTTTCCCCGATCCGACGATGAAGTGAGCAGACGGAGTTCTCTTGTGCATGGCAGCAAGCATTTCTCAATCTGTGTATACAAATTTTAATTGTGATATGACAAGGCAGATCCTATTTTGTACACCTCATATGTAGTCGTTGTTGTGCAGACCCCTAGAATCCAGCACACACGAGCACCGCTCCCAGAGCGAATCCCCCACACAAATGTTAATCGAGTCGAATAAAACTTAAATGTAAATGTAATGCCAAAATGGAGGATATTTGGTAATCGAGAAGAAAAAGTCTTTGGTTTAACAATCATAAGCGTTCTTTATATACGTATAATTAGGATTCATAATTAACAACTAAGTTCTAATATTATAATAAGTTTTTTTTTCGTAGGTATGACAGAAAGACAGAGACTTACAAATGAGCATTGCTAAACATTACTAGGGTTAACAAAAGAAAAAGGTAGACGACGAAAGACTTTTAGGAAGGTTAAAACTTATTGGATAGGAAAACCAAAAATATAATCACAAAAGGTAAATATGTATACGATTAAAAAAAAAATAGGGATTAAATAGTCGATTGTCTTAGGGAACTAAACAAGATTTGTGGACGGTCCGAGGGTGGATGGATCCCTCGGCTATTGCTTCACCGCCTGAGCCTGCTGCTGCCCACTGCCGCTGCCCTTCAGCTTGGTCTCGAACTCCCCAAGAACCTCCTTGTAGTGGGGACCAAGCTCTTCGCGGACCGTCTCATACCAACGGGCAAGCTTGTTGCGATTCTGGAACGTATTGTAGCCGATGGATTCTGTAATGGAAAGATGGAAAAAGTTATTACCAGGTGATGGGAAGTATAGGTAATGGATTTATCTTTTTAGTTTAGGATCCATACAGACTGTTATCTTGAAAACTTACTGGGCTGATCGATCTCGCAGATGGCGCTGAGGTCCGCAAAGGAGATGTTGTCACCCAGCATAAACTTGCGGGAGTTAAGGAAAAGCTGCTCGAACTCGTTGAGCGTGTGCTCCAGCTGCTTGCTAGCGAGATTCACCTGTAGTCAACAAAGATAATAATTAGTTGAAGGAACAATATCAGGATCACGATGAGAATCCCTTACCGCATTATCAGCGGGACGAGTCTTCTGCAGATAAGGCACCAGCCACTTTTGCTGGAAATACTCAGTGGTGGCTACGCCCATGTTAGTCTGCTGCCAAGCCAGATACTCATCGATCCTGCTGCGACCAAGATGACGTCGTGGATACCAGTGCTCTGGCACCAGCTTCTCGCGAGCCAGATGCCGGAAGATGGCCACGTTCTCGGACAGCTGGTAGCCATGATCTGTGATTGCAGGCAGCTTGCGGAACCGGTTGACATTGTCCCGGAACTCGCCAGTCAAGTGCTCACCTGTAATGGGCAAGAGAAAGGGAATGGGGGTAAGCCGGTGAGATAATGATATACCCACAAAAAAAGTAATCTATACTTAAATCTAATAACAACACCAGAGTTATTACTCATTAAAGTTTTTTGGAAGAATATTAATGATAAGATAGTGTACTAATTTTTAAAAAATACTTGCAAAAGGTTATTTATTATATATTTTTTTACTAACTTAATCGAAGATATAACCATGCTAACAAGTTCTTAACTCAACAAAAGCCAATTTCATCAAATTTCTAATCAAATTTATATATATTTTTTAAATTTAGTAACTATTACTGCTTGGTCGTGTGTTTCCAACCACAGATCGCCTGATCCCAGCGAGATACGTGCTAGTCGACAACAGGTGACTAAACACGGGCCAAATTTTGGGAACTGATAACGATAAGGCGATTGATGAAGGAAAAATGGAAGAAATATTGCCCTCAAAAGAGGGGCGTGTCCCTCTTGCCAGCGACAATGGCAAAGTCATTGTCAATGTCGCCAGTTTGTCCATCAAGGTCATCGGAGGGAGTGGAGTATAGAAGTCCCATAAACTGTGGTTTGTTTTTGGGGAGGAGTGCGAAATCGTGCGGCACTTGCGAGGTCTCCGCCGGCTCTATAAATACCCCGATCTGCGTCGGAATCTGGATGAGTGCACAAACAAATTGAGGGCCATATCCACACCCACTCCACGCCATCCCATCATGACTTTGGGGTGGTGTGGTGCGAATAAACAAAGAAATTAACTGAGTATTTCATGGAAACCTAATTGATTAGTCAGCACCAGAGGCGGACTGTGATTCTCTCGACATTAGCTGATTAGATTCGGAATTGGCAGTGGCAATTTTTCAATTTTATAATTACTGCCATTTGGAAAATTAAAGCGCTGCATGATGGCCCACAGTCGAGCCAAAGGGCGATTCGTGAGAGATTCGTGATTGACTGAATGATCAAGATCTTGCTGGCTGTAGCTGAACCCATGGATCGTAATAAAAGTGGGGAAGCCGGAAGCACGAGCGGATTATTATAGCAGGTGCATTGTATGTCAATTAATTAGTGCTCCTCTTATCTCTGGTAATCTTCCATAAACAGCTTATCTTTGTGAACCCCAAAAAACCAGTAGAAATTGTATCAATTTTTTGGTAGTTTTCCCTCAAGTCCCGCTATTGGTCTAATCAAGCAAACCCGTCTAACCTGATTCGATCTCTGGGGGAACTCACTATCTAACCAATAGATTGCATTAGACATCGGTGTAAAAACTTTTAGAAAGGTATAACAAAAACTGCATACTAATTCATGGTTAGCCATATAATAACCTCATATGACCTCTAGTAACTCAGCTTACAAGCGATGGATTGTTTTGCAAATCGTTAGAGCCACTCGTAGATAAGTATCTGGAGGGGTATACCAAATTGGGTTAGAAAATATCAATTTTTATGGTATCAATAGCGCCAATCAAAGGCTTTATTCGATTTCCACTTGATCCGAATTGCAGTCCGGGGCTCGTAAACTCTCGACCAGATTAGATTCCTTGCGTCATGCTCGAGCGGCATGAAAACCGGGTGAGCTCTGCTGTGTAGTGTATAGCTTTATGTACATTGTACATATACCAACTACTGAAAGTGCTTGCCCCCGCAACGGAGTCTTTAACCTCCACAAGGTTGTCTTGTTGTCTCCACTCGAATGCAGCGCCGACGACGACTCTGATTTCTAAGCTAACTACTACTGCTCACCACCGATCTCTCGGCACTCTCTGTGGAGTGCAAAGTCCAACTGCCAGCCAAAATAAAGAGCGGGCCTGTCTGGGAATCCAACATTGTACGAGTATCTAGAGGAATGAAAAGGTCTCCTTGGGATTAGCATAACACTAAATTTGTATCCAGGTATCCGATGCGGATATTAATTTACTGACAGAGATACTGGCTTAGTTGACTGACGTCAACCCGAGAAATGCAAACCCGATCAGATATTATCCATACACACATATCGTGATTATATATGCAGCTGTTAATGGCGGCTGATTGCATCCTCGCATCAATTCTGCACTTTATGGCGTTTCCGCAACCTTGACCAAGTGGAAAACGACCAACACGCAGATGTGCGAGACCCCGCGCCCCTTTTTTTTTTTTTAAATATCTATATGTGAGGTCTAAGGGGGCTTCGAAAAGTGCTAAGCGCACGCGCAGCTTGGTAAACATAAGAAAAAAAACATGAAAAGATGGAAGAAAACAAAACACAAATGAAAAGTAAAGAAAAAACAAAGTGGCAAACAAATCAGTAGATCTTAACAAAGAAATTGATAAGTGTCCCAGTTTGGCAAGCAGGTGATAAAACCAGCGCAAAGATCGGTTTTTAGATTCCCGCAGAGTAAACACGATCAAAGTGCACTCTGAGTTTTTCGGGGTACAGTCGAACTTAAGTAACTAGAACGAAACTATATTTAAAAACCATATTTAAGGATTCAAATGATAAGCTAGGATATTTCAGCATAAAGTAGTTTAGGGTAAACAAATTTAAAAGTGAAAATTCTTATAAAATTTGCCTTCTTGAGGATCGACTGTTTGTTTTCGCATTTTCGGTTTTCGGCTTTCTAGCAGGCGATAAAAGCGTGAATCGAAAGCGATTATGAGGTTTTTTAGGATGCCCCCAGTGGGTTAAGATTAACAGTAAACACGTTCAAAGTGCACCGCTCAAATTGCTTCAAAAACAATTAACAAAGTCTTATATGTATTTTTGCACTCGGTTTTTTATAAGTGGAAGCTCACGTTTGTCTTGTGTTAGCAAATTCCTTAATCTTATCAATAAACAATAATGGAATTGTTATTTTTTAAACACCATCACGTTTGGCTTGAACTTATAAATTCATTAATCTATGCTCCCGATTTCTTCAATTGTTTTGAGATTAGGTGACATTATTTAAATGATTCCCCTAACTATGACCGGACGACTGCCCACTTTCGCCTTGGAAACTTTTTCGTTTGAGTTGTGGAATTTTTAACGAGCGGAAAATTTATTATTTGGAAACTCCCAGTCCAAAACGACTTGAAAAACATATATATATATACGAGTATATATATATATATATATATCGAAAAAACGTAGAGCGAACAAAGGGCAGCATAAATGCATAGGAATGTGTGTGACAATCGAAGGGTCGGATCGACCTTTGGGCCCTAAAAATGTCTTATAGATAGATGTGGATGTTGTGCGTGTGTGTGACATTGGGCACGTAGACACACCACTCCTCCTCACTACTCACCTTTCAGCATCGATATGGGAATGGCCTCGAAGGGAATTTTGGATGCTTCCAAAAGGATATAGAGCGCCCGGCTCGATTGGTTCAGGAAATCAAAGTAGAACTTAAGTGGCTGCGACATCTTGTTAACTCTGCTTGACTTTGCGGTGTCCAAGTAGTGACTAGTTTTATTTTTTTTTTTCAAAAAAAAAAAAGAAAAAATACTTCAAAATCCAATACAATCCAAATTCGAAAATCCAAGATTCAAAACTGTGATCGCTTGGAACCGGACTGCTGGACTTTTGCTGCTAGACTGAGCTCGCAGCACTGTCGCTGCGACATTTTAAACGCAACGGCACAGCGTCGACGTCGACTGCGCTGCGTATCGGTTGGGTGGGGGATGGCGGTATATGGGAAGGGAAGGGGGCGGTGTTTTGGGGCGCATTCAGTAAATGCGCCGCAAAAACAAGCCAGCAGCAGAGCAGCAAAGCAGCGAAGCGATCACAACAAGATGCTAACGAAAAAAAGCGAACACAAAAACAAAAACAGAGACTAAAAAGACCGGCTTCTTGTTCATATATTGCATATGGGCCCCCACTGCTGCTCCGCCTCTGCAGCCCCTCCTATGACGCCTCTGCTGGCGCTGCTTTTACTCTTTCGTGTAGATCGGAACATTGCGACTGCATCTCCCACTCAAAAGAGGGTGTGGTCCACTGTGAAAGGTAATCGCTGGTTAACCAAAACCATCTATGATAACTCGACTGTTAAGACTCTGATTGTAGTCAAAATCGGTATGAGCTAACAGTACATATTTTCCTGGTTGTATACCAAAAATTATATCCAAAATCAGATAATAACATTAGTTACTATAAGAAAATCTGATAGAGTTCATTTCTTAGGAAAAACTCTGTGATTTTTACTAGCTCTTTACCTCAGTTTATTCCAATACATTCGTTTAATAACATTATTAGATAGATATGATAGGGTATTTAAGAAGTGCCTCTCGACTCGATTTTATCGCTGTTTGTTTTGCTTTCAGTATTTTGTTGGTGCTGCGGCTTTTCTTGTTTTTGTTTTGCTGGTTTCTTTTGGTTTGCTCTTCGGCTCTGCCTTTTGCCTTTGTACTGTTGTACTGGACTAGCTTTGATATATTGGGGCGTTATCTGGCAGCGATTTCCAATCACAAAATACTTATAGTATTTATAAGTATTTAGAAGATTCCTGCAACAGTAACCACCAACTGGCTCTTCCCACCCGATCCGATCCCATAGTCCATAGTATCTTTGATGTGTTTAATGTTATCTTGTTTACCGAAATGGAGCCAATAACAGAAATACCAACAAGAACCAGAACCAGAACCCGAACCCCTTCTATATCGGTCAGCGAATTGTTTTTGTTTAACTGTAGAGCTGATAAAGCTGCCACAAGTGCCAGTAAAATTGCCTTGTCTTTGGATGTATCTCTAAGATGCATTTGCTGTCACAAGTCTCCGCGTACACAAGGTGGGCACAACAGTTCGCACAAAGATACAAAGTAAGTGGCCTCTCGACGGATGCACTTTACTTTTTTTTTTCAGAGAGCGTTGTTAAGAAAACTTGTAATGATCAGCTGGCCTACAGAAAGTTAGTTTATGGTTAATGGTTAACCATTTTGAAACCTTTTAGCCACAAAGAATAATTATACCTAGAGCTGAAAGCTTAAGTAGTAGATTTGTATTACAAGAAGAGATGCAAATTATTCACTAAGATACATTTGCTAGTTTAGCCATTACTATATAACGACAAAGTATTACCTTTTAGAAGTTTAACAAATTTATTTAATATTCATTTTACATTAAAGTATGTATATAGCTGATCTATTTTACTACAGTGCCTCCCAAAAGTATACTGAATTTGATATAAACCTAAAAGTATACATTCGTTTGAACGATCCGCTGCTGCAGAAATCCACTCAAAACAAAGTCAAATTAAATTTCAATAAAAAACAAACAAAAATAGCATTACGTCAGCTTTCAGGAGGGGAATTGATATTGACAAGTAAACAAAAAACAGATCGAAAGTTTATAGTGGAACATAAAGCTTGAGTTAAGGAGGAGAATATTACGTAGAGCTACCTCTATAACCAGAAACAGATTAACTTGGTTGTTGATACCCTGCATAGACTTTTATTAACCTTTCATTGGTCAAACACAACAAGAAATTTACTTTTACTTTTGAGAGGATATATCAATAAATTATAATCTTAACTAATAATGTTGCTTCAGTCTTTAATCTAAGTCGACCAAGAAGTTGTCCAAATATATACTTTATTAGGTATAAGGCCAAATAATATCCCTAAAAATCAAAGATCACAAAGTTTAAGTTTGATTTTTATCATCGTTTATTCATCTCATGATTCGCTTAACATCTAGGTTATAGGTATAGTATACAGCTTGATTCGGTTTAGGATCTACAGCCTAGGCCTAGGTTCTACTGACGGGTTCAGGTTCAGATTAGCTTTAGTCACAGCTCGGCACTGCACTCGTGCCTCTCGTGCCGCTTTTACCTCCAAGAACGCTTCGATCACTTACTCACTAATAAATGCATTTCGCCTCCGGTACGTTTTCAACATATTCCAAAAATTCCATTCTTCCGGAATTCATCTCCTCGATCTTTTTTCTTTCTTTCCTAATCTAAAATTTGTAGTTGGTAATTTTGCTTTGCTTTCGATGCTGCTTGGAAGTAAAAGCGCAAAAAGACGATTCATAGCTTTACAAAAACAATATAAAAAAAAAAAAAACATAACTAAATTTTAAAAAAATATTAAGGGGAAATTATAAATAACATTGAACCAGTTGGAATTATGTACAATTCGAATTCCTCACATAAATAAATATAAAATAAATATACATTTAAATGCAACTTAAACGGATCGGCCCTCGACTTATCCTACTATATTATATATAAAGATATATATATAAATCGGTATATGCATGCATATAGTTAAATGCACAATAAACGAAACAAATTCGAGCACATTGGCAACCCACAAAACACTTGGCAACTAAATCCTACTAATACACGGTACGGGGAAGGGATGGGGGGCTAAGGGATTACAGATGTGGGTGGATAGAGTTTCTGGTTAGGATCGATTGGGTACTTAGTCGATCACCATCGACCACGGATGATCCACGCGACCGTACTGAATGTCGGTAAGTGTCTCGCGGATCAGTTCGTGAACGGGTTTCTCCTGCTCCATGGTGGGTATATACAGATCCTGTCCAAGGTAATTGATCCTGTTTACAGGACTGACCACGCACGCCGTTCCCGCTCCAAAGAGTTCCAATAGCTGTGCAGATGATAAAATCCACGTAAGTCAAGTATCAAAACATGATAAAGTCAAAGGAGAACTTACCCTTCCCTGGTTGAGGAGCTCACAGACCATGGGCATGGTGATGTTAGCCTCGCTAACCTTGAACTTGCCCCATTGGCGGGTCATGCGCAGGATGGAGTCGCGGGTAATTCCGGGCAGGATCAGACCACTCAGCGGAGGTGTAACCAGTTCTTGTTCTGCAAGTGGATAAGAGGAAGATGTATCAAATTTCCTTTAGACTTACAGAAACTACTCAAACTACCTCCTTGATCGTTCACGTAGAACATGAAGATGTTCATGGTGCCCACTTCTGTAAGCTGGTGATCCTCGCCATATAGCCACAACACCTGCTGCAGTCCCCTGGCTGCCGCCTCTTTTTGTACATTGATCGTGGGTGCATAGTTGGAGCCCATCTTACGATTGCCAACGCCGCCTGGCCAGGCACGGACATAGCTAGGATCGGCCAGCAGTGAAACGGCACCGGAGGAGCCTGTCTTGAAGTAGCTGCCCACTGGACTGAGGATCGTGTAGAGCAGGGCCGAGTCCGAAGAGGCAACTCCCAACGTGGGCTGTAAGTTGAATATCCAAGTTAGTCAAGTCCTTTAAACTAATGTCTAATATCCTTAGATACTCACATCAATGCCGATCAGTGTGGGGCGGATGTACAAGCTGGCGGTGTCCGTGTGGGGAACCCACTCGGAATCGATGGACAAAAGGCGGGACAAGCACTGGACGAACTCCTTGCCCTCGAAGGTGGGCAAACCGGATCGCTGGGCAGCTAGGTTCATGCGGTTCATGTTCATGTCCGGTCGGAAGATGCGGATCTTGCCATCAACGCCGCGGTATGCCTTCATGCCCTCAAAAAGCTGCAAAAGATCGAACGGCATAGAATTGATAAGACAACATGGCACCATTGGCAACAGTCCCTATTTTGATTCGGATTCAAACTATACTATATATATATTAAATACTAAATGCATTCGGATGACGTTGGGCCACGGGCCACACGTGCGACTTGTTTACAGAGATTACGGACTGGGGATTACGGGATTACAAATCGCTGCCAAGTCACGTAAATAGTTGGCGGGAATTCGGGAAAGAATCGTCTGTTCTAGTTTCTCTAGGATTACTGATTAAACCCTAACAGGTGATTTTACATACCTCAACAGCGTAGTGAAGGACCTTGGCGGCAGGATGCATGACCAGGTTTTCCAGTGGCGTAATCTCTGGTTTCTGCCAGCCACCCAAACTCTTGTGGTAGTAGATCTTAAGCATATGATCGGTGAAAAGACGTCCAAAGCCCAGCTCCTCATCGTTATCCGGCTTGGGCTGCAGCTGCTCTGGGGCGGCCAAACGAACCGACAGTTGAGAGGCACGGAACTGATGACCCAGATTCTTGTCATGCTTAATGGGCTCCGGTGCACTGGTATATTGGGCATCCACCGATGCGGTGATCTGGAAGTCAGCCGATGACTTTTGTTGCTGCTGCTGCTGGGCAGCTTGGGCGGCCTTCAGGGACTGGTTGCTGCACTGCCGAATGGAGTGGGCGATGAAGCGAATCAGGCGGTGCTGGTTGCGGAAAATATCCTGGAAATAGGTAAGAAATATGACATTAGCTAAAAGGAAAACTAAACAATTTACCAAGTTTAATGATGTTAAAGTGACTTTGATTAAAATTAATTCAAAACTTCATTCTTAATGTATCTAAAATCTACTTTGCCCGCCACTAACAGTATGCTAATTTCAGTCTAGACCCTAGCCGAAAACGTTGAACTGCCGAAAATGATTTGCACATTAATTAATTTTCAATTTGCAAGGCAGACGATCTTGTTGACGAGGCTTTGTGCTTGGACTGATGTAACCCCGCCGCGGCTTCGGTATAGTCAACATTCCAGGTCAGACGAGGAGTCAGCAGTTTAGATTCGATTCCGGCTTTGCTACGACTCACAAGACCTAATCTACAATAGTATATGGTATTTTATTCTATTCGATTTTTTTGTATTATATTTTTGAGTTCATCTCTCCTTGGCGGCTGGCTGATGAAATCGGCCAAACTATCGACTAAGCCAAAAAGTAGACGGCCAAAAGAAAAACGCCAAGTTGACATATTGCATCAGCCAAAGCCGAAGCTGATTTAAAACTTAACTACTAGCTAAGCATGTTAGAAAACCCGTTCGAAAATTGGACTACAAAAGACCCGAAAATGTCGTCTATAAGTCTGCCCGCCCATAATTCTTATCGCTGATTTTTGTTTTGGGAGTGAAGAGGAAAGGGGAAGCGATAACAACAGGCCATAAATGTCCAAAATAAAGCATTAATGGGTTCTATTTATAAGTGGTCTGGAGAGCTGGGAGCGTGTCAGGTTGTTCGGAAATAGTCTATCTATAGGGAAGTCTGGAGATAGGCCATCTATCCGATTTGAAAGCTTCAAAACTTTCCTTGTCCACAATATTTTATAATGATTTATATGAAATTGCTATTTTTAGATTAGAAACAGAAACAGAAACCACTTCAAACTGGATTCTAAAAGCTAAAATGTCTGATAAAAGAAATGCCGACCTGAACCTGTTATTTTTCCAATGATTTATGCTAATTTTTGTGATCTATTTTAGTTCTAAAACAATATTAAACATATTTTAGTAAAGGTTAAGGCTCGAATATTTCCAACTTTGAGTTTCATGGAGAAGAACTTTTACTTTATATTTTATAATTTTAAAAAATCTTTAAATTGATAAACAAATCATATGGCGCTCTAAAAATATTCCGATTTCTGCCTGTTGCCAACTTGTTAGAATTTTGATTTCTTGACGGGGCTGATAATGGTTTCTTTTTTTTTTTTGGTGTTCAAGAATTTTGATTACAAACCTTAGCATTAATTGCCATTTTGGTCGTCATCTTGTTGATGTTAGCGTTGGAACTTTCTTTCTTCCTTACTACTTTATGATACTTGTTAGTTAGTAGCTGGTGTTAAGCAGCTAAAAGAGTTGCTCTACGAAAATCGCTCTTTTAGCGTCTCTTGCACTTGCACTTTGCCGCACCGTACGCGTTACCGATAAATATTGTATTTCTTTTGGCTTCTGGTTTTGATGACAAGGGAACTGCACTTTGCACAGTAAAAAAAATGTGGTCAAGCACGCAGTTTCGGTTTTCGATTTACTTTCTTTTTTTTTTAAAGAGCCCTTTTGATTCTTTGTTTTTTTTTCCCAGCTCGATCTTTACGGCACGAAGTCTCTGCAAGAAATGAGCTGCCGCCACCGATATAGTAATATATATAGCCGATCGGAGGGGTATAAGTACCTGAGTATGTGTGTGTGTGTGTGTGTGACCAAGTCGTATGATTACCGTTCGAGCGCCATTTTAAGAGCATTGCGCAGGAATGGCAGCTAAGAGAGCGGAAGAGAGGCTACACTGCGATAAGAATTATATATATTTCAAATTATATTAGCTACTTATATTTATATACCAAAATTTATATATATATAGATTGATTGACAAGCAAATGCAGGCTGCCTCTTGTTTATTTTGAATTATTTAAATATTCCTAAAATATAATAAGCAAGCGAATGAAATGTTAAAACGAAATTAATCACCTGTTCAAATATTGCCAGTACACAAGGGGTATATATTCTTTTTTCCAGAAAATTCAAGTACAAAAATACAAACCTTAGCTATTTATTATTTATATTACTTAATTAATTTCTTTTGTAACTTAGCTATTAAAAAATTATCAAGAATCATGGCTTTTAATTAGAAGCAATGTTGATAATAATAATAATTAATAATGTCTTAAAACTAGCATACAGCTTTCTTTATATGAAAACAAAATCTTAATCTTGTTAGTCAAGAAAATATTTCCTTCTATACCAAATTTTTATCAGTGTAGCCAAAGACTAAGATGCCGAAAATCGAATGTTTTTTTTCGCTCCCTTAGCGAATCTCTTTCTGTGACTTTTCGGGTTTTTTACGATCGATCAATCGGCTCAACGCCTTGTTGCTGTCACCCCCTCCTGCCACCTAAAAGAGGGGGCGGCTTTGTGGCGAATATATTGGCGAGTGGATGGGGGAGGGGGTGTACCCCATGTACCCCCCGTGGGCTGCGTACTTATTTGGGCGCAGGCGATCGGCGATAGCATGTTTTTATTTCTCGTTTTTTAGCTGCCTTCTTTTTCGTTTTGTCTTTTTTTTTTTGCTCTTTTTTGTTTTTGTTTCTCGACAATTTCGGGCAAAAAAAATGTTCAGCTGAATTTTGTAGCTTTTTTTGACATATTCGCCTCGAGTTGAGTTTTGGATTTTTCGATGGCTTCTCTGCTGGTTCTAGTTCTTTGTTTGCGCCTCTCAGCCGTGTGTACTTTTCCATTTAAAGTGAGTACACAGAGGGATATGCTATATACTATATACTATATAAAATATACAAGTATGCAAATACCTGGCTTTGTATCTAAAGAATTAGTTAGTTAACCAAAAGTTAGTTTAAACAAGAAATATAATTCGTAAAAATGATATACATCTCCGCCTGTAGATGTTGTCCAGGCTAAGTAGAGTTTTTTGGTAAGTTTAAGAATCATATTTATTGTAAAATAAAACCCACAGGAAACTATCCTCAACCTGAACTACGTCTTAACAGATTTTTGACCTGGAAAATTTGTTTCTTTTTTATGACGCACATATGGTTATATCAATATCAGGCGCTACCTCCTTCACTTCCTGCTACCTGCCGAAACTTCTTGTTCTTTTTTATACCACACAAAAAGATTGGCTTGGAAATGTGGAAAACATGACGTGCACGTTTTTTATTTTCCTGTTTTCCTGCTCGTAGTTTCCCAACTGATAACGCTCTATGGATTTCAGTGTGTGTGTCTGTCTAACAGATTGTGCAAAACAGATTTGAGAAAGTACAAACAAAAAACAGAGGTGAAATCCCTCTGTAATCCTGGCTGATGCAATATCTAAATTAACAACATCACGATTACTAGCTGATAAGAGAAAATCAAGTTTTCTTTGGGCATTTCTCACGCCATGTGGCTGTAACTTAAGAGAGAGACAGCGACGATCAGACGGAAGAGATATGGTTATGGTATATATATATATTACATGACTCTCTTGATATAATTGTAATGCTAGATGGTTCTCAGTGGCTCTCAACTGGGCTGATAAACAAATAAATTAGTGGCTTTCAATGTCAATGGACGCGATGAAGCGAGATAGTTGGCGTTGTCTGATGGTCACTCCCTCTCACTCGGTCACCCGGTGACCAGTTTTTGTTTTGATCAGCTCCCTGGTCACTGGGTCATCCGGATATTCGTCTTTTATACCAGGCGACCTTGCTGGGGATCTTTTTAAGATCCTGGGATCGATTTTTGTTATGTTCAAGGTGAGATTCTACTTTCAAAAAAATGATATTGTCTTTAAATGGGAAGTTTTAAGATCTTTTTTGCCGACTTACATGGTGGTATGATGGCTAAATCGAACTTAGAACACCAAAACCAACTTAGTTACAATGAATTTCTTTGAGTGGTTAACAGCAACAGCAGTTTCTGGTAAAAAGAAAAAATAAATATAAAACCCAACCTGATAAAATATACAGTTTCCAGTGAAATACGTATCAAGCCCGACTAGTTGCTGTTCACTGAGAGAAAAAGATTTGCTTTGGCACTTTGGCACTCACTTCCCATCGGCATATTACATTATAGTTGACTGACTTGTAAAACGAGAGCAAAAGTCAATGAACCCACTTACATACATTGTTTTTGTGCACGATCAAGGACGCTTTAAATATCTAAAAGTACGTATGTGTGTGTGTGTCTTTTGTATCTGTGAGATGGAGGGGTGTGTCCCGTATCTCGCTCTCGGTGTGTGCGTTTTGGAGGCCCGTTCGCTGAAACGGGCCCACTTTCCGTACAATCACAGATACAGATACAAACACAGATGCATAGATACACACAGATATGTGCAAATGAATAGTATTTGCATGGCTAAGAAAACAGAAATAACTTTAGTTTTAATATTATTGTTTTTATTAAGAAAAGTTCCTTAATAAGTTGGCGAACATAAAATATAAGCTAAGTTAATGACTACATTATAAGAAATAATCAAAAACTATACCACTTTCAAGTCTATATAACCATTATTATGCCCTTAACTGTATGTATCTTTATTGATCGCGTACCATGGGGCGTATGCGCAATATGCTCGCTGGTCACCTTTATTATTCCCAGAGTTTGGGTTGACTTGTTTTCGCCGTTGTTGGCGTTACAATCATTCTGTTATTGTTTTGATGCCTTTCTGCGAGAATTTGTTTTCGTTACCTTGACGGCTTCTGACCGCGTCATCCGTACCCCTTTTTGTTTTCATTGGTATTTCGTAAGATATTTTCGTAAATATTTTTAGTTTGTCATGTGACATGAATTTATCCCCAACCAGTACACCAAGTTTGGTATTCAATTTACAAAAATTACGCACTCAAAAAAGGGAGCATTTGGGAGGCCAGGGACGAAGCAGCAGTGACGTCAAATCCGAGTTCTCAATTCGCTAACCCAAACGGTCGCTATAATCGCAACCAACTATGTCGAGGTAATTGCAATTGGAATCGAATCGAAATCGATCACGCGTCGCAATCCGTTTTCTTTTTTTTATTTTTTTTTTTTTGCCGGGAACTCAATTCGATTCACAAAAAATTCATAAGGGTTCGCAGAGTTCACAGACAACGACGCAGTTCCAATCCAATCGCACGATATTCAGTTTCAATTCTTAGATACATAATCACCAACCAGTCTTACCTACTAAACATATTGTAATGATGAGGCAACAATGACTTTTCTTCAAACCGCAATTGGCACTCATAGGTCTTCTTATGTAAGTACTTTGAACTTTTTATGAATACTACTCTGATTTCCTTCAGTGTTCATTGTAAGCTTCTCTGTCAGGATGATCATATCTCTATGGGGGGCTTATCGATCCATTGACGTCAGCTCCCGGCACACGCCCCCCAAAAAAATGTGATAACTTCAGGCAGTTCTATAAGTTCCATAAGTTATCAGTTATCACCTCCGGTGCTCGTCTTTTAGCCACACCCTCATACGATCACAAGATACACGTTTCCGGGGCTTTGACTGTCAAAAGAATACGAACTGTACCGCCCCATAGAAAGAACGAAATAGATATAGATACGGATACGGGAGGAGATACAGTAGCACATGATCGCGATCGGTTAGTTTTTTGAGTTGATGAATGCGGTTTTATCGTTGCAGAGATAATACTACCGACTCTCATCCCCCCACCAACAAAAATAATCATTCACGGGCAAAACAACAGTGATAAGGCATTTAGTCATCCCCTCTGATTACCGATCTGCAAGTCATCCTCGGATATGAAATACGGATGTCAAACGAGGGTAATTGGTCAGGCGATTTCTCAGATTTATTTGCATTTCTCTGTGCTGTTACGCATCGCGAATTTATTTCGACATTTATTTGACAGTTAATTATTTTTGTCATTCGAAAATGTTTAATTTAGATATTCTTAGTAAGAGAGCTTGTTAAGTGAATTTAAGTAGGGCTATCACTTTAGGGAGTGGTTATGATGTTTACTTTTTGGTTTAGCAGAAAGCTTAGTTAAAGTTCTACTATCTTATAAGAGTTATTAATAGATAGTTATGCCTTCGTATCTTACCTCTTCTTAATCTTAACTAATACTTCATGACAACTTAATCTTACTTCTTTTATGCCTTACAAAATCAAAAAAAGATCATTGATCCTGCTGAAAATCCCTTATTAATTTTCCTTAGCTTTTGATTCACACATTCCTATACATTTTACCATTTCTATACAAATATACTCTGATATTTATGGTGTTCAAAATGCGTGGGAGTGTAGTCTAAAGATTTATTTGCTTACGCGGGCTTTCTTTATTTTCTTGTCCGCATCTCTGAGCAGATTTTTTACTGCTCAAGGTCCCAGGCCCCTTTAGAATTTTCACTGTCGATCTTTGGCATTCAAAAATAGCGCAGTGCAAACAAATTGAAGTGCTACGATTGGGGGAAAAGGCAGAATATCTGCTGTTTACCAGCTGCCCCGACTATCTCTCTAATTGATTTCATTTCTTTTCCTTCTTTTTGCTAACACATACTCCTCCAAAAAAAATATTGCTTACGCGTTTTCAAGGTTAGGGACGGTAGCAAAAATGAAAAAAAAATGAAAAATAGATATACACTACAAGAACTGGTAGATAAAGAAAAAAAAGAGGGGCAGCCAAAAAACCGCCATTATCATAACGTTTTACGATCTTTTTAACGATGGCTAAACTCGTGACTAAGTCTCGTGCTAAGAAGACAAGCCCCTCAAATAATTATAATTCAACTCTCCGAAAAGGAGTAGCACGAATTTGGAACGTCAAATCTTGAATAATATTGGATAATATTTATTGGCCAGTCAGCGGCACGTGTGGCTCTCCAAGTCGAAAATAAAGGGAACACCAAGAACTCACCAGAAGTATATGTACGAGAATATTTGTTTTTATGCTCAAATGTACGATTCTGTTGGTAGTTGTGTTTGTATTTTCTTTGCCTTTATGAAGCTTTTACTTTTTGGCCGGCTTTTGTTGCCGCCATTCGACACTTGCAGGGTAGTGAAAGAAAATATAAGACAGCTTGTACACTCTATATAAAGAAAGAACTATAAAATAGTTTGTAAATGTATAAAGAATTTTTCTAACAAACATTATAAGGCATGAATATAAGCAAGATATTTAGTTTAACCTTGTAACCCTTCTCCAGATATTGCCTACTTTTCAGCTGCCTATTATGAATACTCCCAACTACCACTGAGTACCACCTAGTTCATCATTATACTTTTCCAAAACTCTTGGTAACCGAATTTATGCTAAAAACTTACACACACACACACAGGCCCACCTTTACAGCAATTTACTTGCGCGTGGCTGCCCGGCACTCGAATTATAGCAAAAACCAACAACAACGACAACAAAAACAGCAAAAATAATATGTGTAAAAAAATCCAATCCGAACTGAACCGACATGGCACCATAAAAAAATGTGCCTAGCTGGCAGAGAGTGAGTTGATAAATCCGTCAGAGCGTCAGATAGGCAGATAGGCAGACGCTAGTGTCCGATTTAAGTGCTATACATAGATACCGAAACACCGCCCAACGAGATCTCCAGAGTCGGTTGTATGGGTAGTGGCACCTGTTCGCCAGTTGCGTAAATTTCTATATAATTATATACACATTCACGCTCTTTGCCCGACGGCGACTCTTTGGCTCTTTTTTACAAAACTTTTCGCAGTTTGTCTGCGCGTGTTTTGCTCTCTTTGTTTGCTTATATAACCAGCATGCAATATAGCTATGCAGAGGAAATAATAAAGATCGTTTTTAAAAACGATATATTCCTATGATTCTAGGATTCTCTATTAAGACTGTCAATTAAAAAATATAATATTTCTGCAGAAAGAACTTTAATCGCAAAACCTTTTAGCCATTTTGAACTCTTCTTTTATATCTAAGATAAAACGAATATTTCTCTCTCTGTATCTACGTATTATCTGCATCTGTATACTCGAGAACAACAAGCGGACGAGCCCTGAAATTCGACCAATCCGAGAGCTCTGAACGATGGCCGAGGATTATCTCACGCATTTATGCATGACAGATGACGCAGTGCGTCAGCGGATATGATCCCAAAAGATATTTAAACAAACAACCTGTGCAACTGAGAAATATTTTTGAATACAGTTAATCCAACCCTAACTGTATATCCATTATATATTATGATATAAAATCCAAGAACTTACATATCACGTATACGCCACGTTATCATTATTTCACATAATTTTCAAAAACTTAGTATTCACGATTGGCAAACTTTCATTATAAAATCAAATTAAATATTTCAAACGGTATCGTTTCTAATTTGAGCAAAAAAGCGGCTCCAAACAAACAAGATTAGGTTGCTAGGTAGCGAGACGAAGTCGAGAATTAATCTTCTCAGCCAAAAAATAAAACTGGTTCGAAAAGGTCCCAACTGGTCTTATTTTCCGATTCGCAAGACCAGACACAAATACATATATGCGCAAAATTAGCAAAAAATCCAAACGAATTTCAACCAAAAAAAAAAAAACATTCAAATCGATGCGAGGCGAAGACAAGAAACTCGGAATTTATTGAGCTTTTTTTTTTATTTTTGCCAAAAGGAACTCGCTTTGGTTGCCATCCACATGGCATTGAATCAAGTCTCTATATTTCTTTTTTTTTTGGCAACTTTCATTATCAATGTCAAGCACGATTCTAATTAAACGCTCTTGAAATAAAAAGCCAAGGCAAACGAGATAGGGTCTGGCAACTACTCATTTCATTAATGGATATGAGGAAGAAGCACTTGACAGTACTCTCTACGCACTCCCGATCTTTATGGTGGTATAGTATATAGATAGTCGGTCGTAGGAAAGTGCTGAAGGAGACTGGATGACGTGTTCCCAAAATATTTTCTATGTCTTGATAAGATTATTTTGTTCTATTTAAAAAAATCAAAGAAATGTTTTAGCCAAAACTAAAGACTAAGATTATCTGATCTTAGAAGAAAAGGTTTAAATTTCATATTTTTCTAATTTTTTGTTAACATTTCTATTTTGTTATTTCGACAGCGTACAATCTCCTGCGAAGCCTCAACATAGCACTTATTAACTTGAGTTAGAATCTTTGAAAGTCAAATCAGCAAAATTAGAAAATTCGTGAGTTCAGTTATAGAATAGAAAACCTCACGTGTCCATCTATATTTATAGCCATAAATGTTCTAATGATGCGTTCGTTAGCCTCTTATCACTGGGATGGTTATTGGTTCTATGAATTATTTTTAAGGCGGCTACCAAGCAGGGCTTATCAGGTGAAAACAGCTCAAAAGGTGGGCTTGGCACCGCCTCCAATCTCATAGCATCGCATGTTTGTTAGCCCGACTGTTGCTAGAGGGAAAAATCTTATCACCTCCTACGGGTTGGATGTGCGTCATCGGCACGGGCTTCCTTTTGTCAGTTCCTTCTCCTTCCCTCATCAATCGTTCTAATGGTTAAGGTTTTTCAAACGGTTGCCAGCCAGTGATCCCGATTTCAGGCGAAAGCCGGACAAGTGCGTGAATAATAAACATACATTTGCTTGGTCTCTGTACACGGGCTCGTTTATATTTACAAGGTTTTTGCTTTGATAATAAATAGTTACAAGGAAAGCAGGAGGAGCAGAGGCTGGCGCAGGGTTAGGGAATCTTCTTGAGGTGCGAATGGGATTGTTTGTGCTTGACCTTTGAGGTTAGCACGTCGTAGCCCAGACTAATGATGTTGTCATAGAAGATGCGATAATGAGTGGGGATCCAGTAGAAGTTGACAAACTGCGCCACTGGCCACACTGTCCATTCGGCGGCGTATAGCTTCCACGCTTTCTCCTTGATCTCCTCCCATACCTCGTGCTTGTCCTTCCGCTCTAGCAGGCCCAACGTAACGAAAAAAGCACTAATGTAGATGGGCGAGCAGATCAGCTGGTCGAGCACGATCTTCTTGGCCACCACGCGCATACTTCGGCCAGGTAATCGTTTGTCCAGCATCTTGTACCAATAGTGACAAATCACGCCCACCGTTACACCACTAATGGCCATGTGGGCAGTTCTGGTGGACTCAAAGCGTTCGATTTCACCGCAATAGATCTCCAGATGCTGTTCAAGAACGTCGCCCACACAACTTAGGGTAAGGGAGATGCCCACGTTGGTAAATAGCAGGAAACGACTACTAAAGGCGTTCGAATGCCATTCCCGCAATTTTTGGAGTGCTCCAAAGCCTACAGTGGCTGTATTTGTAGTTCCTCCACCAGAAGCTGCTCCTCCAGTTGTCCCGGCTCTCCGTGGCCAACTTATCCTCAGGCTACGCTGACTGCGAAAAGCGCTGGAGAGGATAAGGCCACGAGCCGAACAGCTACGCAGGGATTGCATGCTGTTCGGCTACAATTTCTCACTCTTCAAGGGGTTGTGTTCTTTTCTTCGATTGGCGGTGTTCCGATATTTACAAGCCCTCCGCCTCCGGGCCAGCCATAATGTTAAAGGTGTCCGAAAATAGGATGTGATTGCCGGGTCCAGGGGTGATTTTAGAAATTTATACACATGGTTTTTACCGAATTTTGTTATTTGGATTTGACTTTTGAAAGGCAATTCGGACACACGCAACAGCAACAACAACAATAACAACTATCACGTGTAGCAAACAGCTGGTTTGATCAGGGCTGGTTGAATTGAGCTATCGATAGTTTAATTGTCGTTTGGAATTCGTTCGGAAATTATTTAAATTTGCTTAATAATTGTAAGCTTATATGAAGAATAATTAATCACTTTTTTAACAATAATTGATTTTAAAAAAAGATATTGAATTCAAGCTTGTAACTTAGAAATATTATAAAAATAATCCAATTTATTTTGGCTTTTAAGTGGGCCAAAAAAGCCAATAAAATTATAAATATGATTCCTTGATAACAAAACTAAATTTTCGTTAAACTACACAAACATTATTTTATTTATATTTATTTATTTATTTAACAAGCTTAAATCTAGTATACAATACTAAATCTATAGGGTTACTTAAAGAGTACTGGCTGCTAGGGCCTACGACTCGAGAATAAATTATAAAATAAAATACTTAAATATTTAGGTTGGTTCTAACAAGAAATTGGTAAAGGTTCGTAATGGTATATTATCTACTATCAGATGGTTTTTGATGACCATAAATGAGGGCCCTAACGCTCTCCAGAAGACAGCTTGAGTTGAAAAAATTGTCAATTTCGAGGCGTTCGCCGCAAAGGCAGATGAGACTTGGTGTTCCAGTAAGAATATTTTCATGTGTTGCACGAATGTGCCCGATGCGGAGGCGGATGATTGTTGAACATGCCCGCTTTCATTATTTTAATTTGTTAAATAGATTGAAAAACTCTCCGCCATCCCTAAATCCACTCGCTTTCGATAGTTTTGCATCGATATCGCAGAATACGACGACAACCCTAGAAAGCATTCCACAGTGTTTTGTTGTTTTTTTTTTGTGCAAGCGTCGCATTAGCACAGTTCTAGATCCAAATTTGGGATATATATCCGATCACAAGTGAGCACGAGCCTAAGGACAGGTCATCGTGGACAAGGGACGTGGGTTCTCCAATCTGAGACATCTTCAAACAGCTGAGTAAGGTACTGCGTTGTTGTTGTTATTCCTGTGTTGTGCAAGTGGGACGCAGTTAGTGGAGTCCAAAACAAAAGAGCATCGCAAATATAGATAAGGAGTATTACAAGGCCAGGAAGTAATCGGAGTGATACCCGTATTATTCCCCACATTTTAGGGGAACAAAGGAACACCACCAAACGCACACTCACACACCCATAAACGCACACGCATTTCACCGAGAGCGAGCGAGACGGGACAAGACTAGAAGTGTGAGTGAAAGGGAGCGAGGCAGCACAATGGGACGCATATTTCTGGAACACCTCGGTGGCCTCAAACTCTTCAATTGCGCCCAGTGCCACACAAACCTGACCAACCGCAGTCAATTGATCAGCACCAGATTCACAGGCGCTACAGGTAAGGAAACCTCATCTCTGATTATGCAATATTAATCCTATATATAAAACCCCACAGGACGAGCCTATTTGTTTAAGCGTGTGGTCAACCTGACCTTTAGTAACATTCAGGAACGAGTCATGCTCACTGGACGCCACATGGTCCGCGACGTCATGTGCAAGAACTGCGGTGCCAAATTGGGATGGATGTACGAATTCGCCACCGAGGAATCACAAAAGTGAGTAAAGCCAGGATTCTTATTAGGGATTCTATGAGTTCAGGCATCATATAAGAATTATCAAGCAGTTTTATTGTTTTCGGTTGACTTGAGTCCGCGTTATTATCTTCAATAGCTTAGCTTCTCGGCTTACATGAATTGAATAGAGATAAAGTTATCTTTATACGTATTGGCTACTTTTGTCTTTGACAACTAATTTATTTTTTGTTATTCAAAGCTAAAAATCGTTATTTTATGTATTATAGTCGTATTCTTTCCTTATAAAGAACCTACATTAGAATTCCCATTTCTTTGTGGCAACCCATCTTATGCATGTCTATCTCATGTTATCTTATAATACAAACAGTGGCAAAGCAAAGTTACGCAGAAACTACAGATTAAACTTTCAAGCGCAGAAGAACTTTGATCTAGGGCAAAGGTTAATTATGTTACCACAGATGATATACTCTACTAATGTACTATCTTATACCCAAAGGTATAAGGAGGGACGTGTGATTCTGGAGTACGCCCTGATCAACGAGGCAGAAGGCTTTCCATCGGAGGCACCCACTACGAGTCATTGAGCCGATTGATTATCCAAACGGAAGACAAGAACCACGCATTGGCAAACCGTGTGTAGCCCTAAGTATTGAGTAGAAGGCCACAGGCGATGGCCTCTATGCATTAGACCTAGTTTAGAGATCGCCGTAGTCAGCTCCGAGCTTTGGAACATCCGAATACCGGTTGCAAATCCGGCACGGAGCAATAACGCCTACGGCCCTGTCTTAACGTGACTTAAACGTAGTTGTAGGCACACCTAGCACGTAAGCAGCTGCGGCGCCCAATTCTACCATTAACATGTCATGAGGCTGAAGTGCTAAAAAGAGATAGGTTATTCAGTTCGAACTGATCCGCAACTAATGATCCACACTTGTGTCTTTTTCAAACAAGATCTCTAGACCGTAATCAATCACCAATCAATCAGCAATAAAGTACCACAATAATCGAATAGTAAATTATAATCGTCGGGTTATAACTCGTCAACTCATTTCTTTACTCAGCTATTTTGACAAATGCAGGAAAAATGCATCATCTCGGTTGTCTAAACTAGTTAAGGTTGATAATAACATCTATAAAAACCTAAAGTTTGCCAGTCTTTTGAGCCATGGCCAGGGCGTTCTCATTGGCGATGACCTGGAACTCCTGGAAGCGCTGCGAGACACGCTGGTTCATCTTCAGGTACTTCTCCATGCAGTTAAGCGAGCATTTTTCCTGTAAGATAAATCGGATATTGAATTTTGCAGCTCCACATGGATATACTGCGAACTCACTTCAGAATCCTTGACATCCCGCGATGTAAAGTCGCGCACGCAGTCTGTGAAACACATTTCGGATAGCTTGTTGTAGGACATCAGAAAGTCGGAGAACTGGATGATAGACAAGCCCATCATAAATGAAAACCACATTGCATCACTTGGTAGCGCCGGTATTTCCTGTGCTACAGCATTTCCTCGGATATTTAACTTACCGTCTTCATTTGATCCTTGTCCAGCTGATCCAGCGCTATGTTTTCCGGACTCTTGGCCATCTTGTGCTATATTATTTGATTCAAGTTTCTACAAACGAAAGGAAAGGAGCCAACAATAATGTGCCTATATTAAATAATAGGGACAGCTGTTAGAGATCGGAATCGATTCATCGTTGTTGTCAATGTTCTTGGGCATAAACTAAACGATTAATCGTTTAGGCCAGAGTTGTCACATTATTACTTGGACAAGTGCCATTCTATAATACACAATTTAAAGCACGCATTATCTTCTATAATTAACAAGACAAAATATTGCACATCGGTTTTTTTATATGTTTAATTTGTAAAATAAGTAATTTTATCAAGTATCGATATACGAAACGGTTTATGGTATTTTTTCAACAACCTCCGAATGGTTATACTTATTAGCATACTTTCAAACACTACGAAGAACGCCATCTTTTTTTCCACACAAACATTTTTTTTCGTCCTGCTGTTTGGGTGTGTTCGCTGCGCATTAAAATTGTTAAATAGCCAATAAAAGTCCAAAGAAAGCCCACAAACCAGAAGAAATATTCCCAAAGGGTTTCCAGTAAAAAAGAGTACAGGTCAGGAGATCGGCCACAACTACATAAATAATACATATAATGCCACGCTATCGGGAATGGGACTTAGCCTGCAAGGTGTACGTGGGCAACCTGGGATCCTCAGCCTCCAAATACGAGATCGAGAACGCCTTCAGCAAATATGGACCATTGCGCAACGTTTGGGTGGCCCGCAATCCACCAGGTTTCGCCTTCGTTGAATTCGAAGATCGACGAGATGCTGAGGATGCGACTCGTGGCTTGGATGGCACACGTTGTTGCGGCACCCGCATCCGAGTGGAGATGTCCTCTGGACGATCACGCGAAGGTCGTGGAGGTGGCGGAGGGGGCGGGGGAGGCGGATCCGGAGGAGGTGGCCGTGGCGGAGGCAGTGGAGCCCGTGCTGGAGGCGGTACAAGAGCTGGCGATGGCGGTGGTCGCTATAGGTGAGTACACTAAATTGCATATCCATTCTGCAAAACAACCCATCCCCCTCTCGATTATGAAACATCATAATTTTTGCCAATATGTGCAAGAAAATATGCAAAAATGTATATATATTTGATCTGTGTCGTCTTTATGTGTGTGTGTGCGTATCTGTGTGTATGTATGCATGTGAAAAATCGATTCGCGTATACATACGAAAGCGGAGCAAGCCAAAATACACACACACGCACATTCAGTGGGACACCACTGTAAGCCACATATAAACACACACAGTGGCGTCCATAAACGAACAGTCCTACCGCGCCTACGGTGGCGTCTTCGGCCAACAGTTCTGGTTGTTTTTGCTACTCAATCGATTTTCTATATATATATATATGTATATTTTTAGGGGAAATCTAGTTTTAGTACCCCCATTTCATTGCTCATTATATGCACCCAGAGGTCCATAGTTAAAAGTTCAAAGAGTATAGCTTTACCTAGTGAAAATGTTTTGTTTGTTGTTTTTTTAGTAAAAAAAAAAAAAATACAAAAAATAAAATACAAAAAAATAGTAAAAACAAAGTAACTCAAACGCTTGGAGCCAATTTTAATGTGGTCTCAAAATCATTTTGCAGGACAAAGTCTTCTTCTTCTACTACAACAAGCACAACAAGAACTACTACAACAACAACATCAATAATAATAATAATAATTAAAAGAACAACAACAACAGCTACTACTACTAGAACTTCTACTACTCCTCTTCCTTCAACAAGAACAACAACAACCAAAAGAACAACAACAGCTACTACTACAAGAACAACTAGTCCAACAGCAGATCCTGCTCCTCCTATTACACACATTTCACCAACAACAACAGCCACCACACCACCACCATGCAATAATTTGTTGTGCGGCCCTAGTCAGAAATTCAACAAATTCGATATATTCCGCTGACCACAGAAAAAGAAAAAGAAAAAAAAACCGAACGACTGCAACACTATACCCCCTCCAACCACCTCTTCAGCTCGTCCCAGGCCAGTTTCATCAGCAACGTCTCCGGCTCCGCAGCTACAAGAATAATGCACCCAAAAACCAGTCAAAAGACACCTAACTATTCATAGCACTATGGGGCAAACAACCAGATTTCGATATTGTTTTTAATAACTTCAATTTTTGTTTGAGTAGAATGAAATGATGTACTTGTAATCCGGAAATTTAGTTTTGTTTATACAATTTTCAAGTTTATTGGCTTAATTTCATTTACAAACTGAAATATCCTTTAAAAATTGTACTACATTTCTAATTTAGTGATTTTCTGATTTAATAACTTGGTCTTATGCCCCATAGTGCAATCATTTACAAGTCTGTTAGTTGACACCATCTTCAGGCTGTACAACAAGCAATACACACTCAAACACACTCTGCCATTGATCACACTAATCACCAAGAACCACAGCGAACCGGGCATCAGCGGCAACAGAGCAACTTCATCAAGAATCTAACTCCAATGTGCTTCTATGCATATATATTATTTATACACACTCACCAGACCAGCAACGCTTCAAAAAAAAAAAAAAGTCAACTTCCTACGCCTCCAAGTTGTGCGGTTGTCTTCAGCCTGCTTCCTTCGTCCCCAACAAACCACCCACCACCACCACATCATCCGTCATCTTTAGTGCAGCTACAGCATCAGCAACAAGCTACAGCTACAATGACCAACTGCAACAACAGCTTCTACTTCTGCTGCTACTACTGCTACTACTACTACTACAACAACATCTGGCAGCCAGTCAGCAAAATGATCTCGAGGCTGAGAAGCCTTTAGTAGATCTTTTGTTGGTCCCACCACTCAGTCAGTAGTTGCACCTTTCCCTTGCAATCAAACAAGATTGAGGCTGCTTCACGCTATTTCCTTCAATCGCAGCAAGTATGAAACCTTTGGCCGCCACCACTACACTCCCCAACGAACTGAAACGATAATGAAAACGTAACGTCTTTTAACAAAAATTCGTTTCTTATATTTCTAATTATGGTTTCTGCTAATGTGTTTTTTTTTATATATATCTTTCCGTGTATCCTAACATCTACTGAGATAATGTTGTTCGCGCTGCTCTCTGTGTGAATATATATATTTATATTGTTTAAATGTGTTTATGCATTGATCCGATCAACTTGAATTCAACTCAAAGTCAGACTGTTCACCAACCAACCAACCAACCGACCCCACAACCACCAATCGACCAAGCACCAGCGCAGCATCAGCAGGGCAGGGCATGGTCTTCTTCAAGCTCGCCTCTCCACATCGCGGATGGTAGGAGCAGCACCGCCACCACTACTACTACTACCACCACCACCACCACCACCAAAAACCACAACCACCACCTGATCCTCTCTTGCTGCTAACTGATGCTTCCCCACCAACTGCTTCTTCATACGACCTACGTTCTTCGGCTGCTGCAACAGAATAGAAAATGCTTCACCAATATATTTATCCACCAAACAACACACACCAAAATAAACACAACACAGCCACCCTAGTCACAGTCAATCAGCTCAGAATCGTATCGTTATCAACAGCCCAAACTACAACAGTTCAACAACAAGAACCTACTACTACTACTACTACTACTACTTCTACTACTACTACAATTCAACAACAACAACAGTCTTCTCAGTCTGCTCTGCTCATCAACCAACTAAGCAACCTACCAACAAATCAATCAGCCAACCAATCCAACCAAATACCACCACCAATTACTTTATGTAAATGTCACACCAACGCTTTCGTAAAAATCAAAAGGGGCCTAAACCAAACCAAAAAAAAATATATATCAGCTATATATCTCCACCACCTTCAAGCACCTTCAGCCACCAAATAAAAAAAAAAAAAAAACAAGAATCAGCCAGCCCTCCGCTCTCAGCTCCGCTCAGATCAGCTCAGCTCAGATCAGCTCAAATTCAGCTCTCCGATCCGTATCCGATCCACCAGATCCGTCAGCCCAAGTTGTGTGTTGTTTGATCGAGACCACTCTATCAACTTTACGTATCTTAAGGAATTGTTAACTTATATTACTTATTAGTGCAAAATCTATTTAATTTGTATTTTCTCTCTCTCTCTCCTCTTTCTTTCTCTCCTTTCTCTTTCTATATCCTTGTCTGTGTGTGTGTCGTGCCCAATATGTTTTTCCCCAAAACGCCACCCATTTACTTACAGATCACGTTCACCCCGCCGCTCAAGGACACGCAGCCGCAGCTTCTCACGGGATCGCCGCAGTCGCTCGGACTCCAGGGATCGCCATTAGATAGATGGACATGTGTGAGAATCAGCCTCAAGCCGGACTACACACACACACACACCCTATATATATATATAAATATATATATACTTAAAGAGATATATAAAGCAGCCACAGAGTTGGGGGCCAAATAAGTCTCCACACAGATTCCTTAGTTTGACTCAAAAGATTTGTTCCATATATAACCTCCCTCCCTTTAAGAAAATGAAAAAATGAAATCGAGAAAAACGAGCAACTCTACAAAAGACCACCACACAACCCAGCCATCTCCGATCTGGACGGATCGCAAGTATAGCCACAGTACAATTACGGTACATATTGGTATTTAGGCTTTAAGACTTTGGTAGATTTTAATTTAAAAAAAAAAAAGAAAGAAAAAACAAGCAACCAAGAACTACTACTACAACCACACACGAAACGTGAGGCATCCGGAGAAAGAATGTCGAAGGTAAATGCTATTGTACATCCGCAAAACCCCCATTCTTTATCCATTTGATTTTTATCTGATCAAAAAATCTGTCTCAACACAAAAAGTCAAAAGAAAAGTTTATGAAAAGAATAAGTAAGAAGTTTCTATATATACAAATATATATATATATATATATATATGATTGAATGACGGAAAGTGCAAGTAATTAAGTCGTGAAATGAAAATCAATAAATTGAACATAATTTAAAACCAAAATATAATGCCTTTGTTCTCAAAGTGATGGATAATATTCTAATAAAGTTTGCAGATTAGACAGATCTCAGGGAAGTTTCAACCCTCCAAAGTTAAAAACATTTATGGTTTAACAATAAAATTGATTTATTTTTCTTGTCTATAACAATTAGTAATGACTTGAACGCACACACATCGTATGTTTTCGTGATCGATTCAGGGATAAGCACATGCAGACTATAAATAGGTATATATATAGATAAATATGTAAACTTTTACACAATGCAAATAACTTTCATCTAGAACAATATCAGAATTTTTTCAATTTTGCGCCGACCAAAAAGTAATAAACAACTTTTGGCTTTAACAAAAATTATTGTCACTTCTCTGTTAAGAGAATCAATTCAATACAGAATCAAAGACTATATATATATAGTTAATTGGGTTAATTGCTAACTGGAAACGTGATCGTAGGATCGTATAAAACCTGCTTGGATTGGGAGTGTGTTACAAATCAGGAGTTATTCCAATTTTATATATATATTTTCTCATATATAAAGAGTAAAGAAGCTTTCAGTTAATGACACACAAAGAGTAACAGAGATAGAAAAAAAAAAACAGTTATGGTATTTTATATTTTAATCCTAAGGATCGACACTTTTAACACAGGGCTGGGGGGACGGGGAGCATGGCGCAGGGAGTGGTCAGCAGATGGATGGCCGTGGACTGTGTCTACTTGTACTTCTTCATGAATTCGGCGTGGAACACGCGGAACTTCTCCATCATCAGCTTCAGCTTGTCCGTTTGGGGGAGGATTGTGCTGCGGAAATGCCAGGTGCCGGGCTTCTGACCAAATCCACTGCCAGGAACAATGCAAATGCCTATGGAAAAACGCCAAGGATTAGAAATTGGAATTTCAGGAGAAAAGAAGCAGAACTTACCGCTCGTTTCGAGCAGCTCAAATGCGTAGAAAACATCGGGGGCCATGCCCTTGGCCTTGGCAGCCTCGATGGCCTTGGGCGGGATCTCGATCTGGGGGAAGACGTACATGGCGCCCTGCACGGGGTTCACCTTGTAGCCCTCGAAACTGCTGAGAGTCTTGTGCACGAGCTCAGCACGCTCTTTCAGGGCGGCCAAGATCTCGTCGCGCTCCTTCTTGAAAAGTTCATAGGAGGGTTCACCAGGCTGTGGTGGGTTAACCAAAGCACTAACAGCCACCTGACCGGCAGTGGTGCTGCAGAGCGCCGCCGTGATCGACTTGGTCAGCATGGCCTTAACCTTGGGATCCAGATTGAGAACCTCCATGTAGCCACCGCGAATGCCGCACTCGCCCAGATAACCCTTCGAGGTGGACAGGAAACTGCACAGCTCCAGACTGCGGTAGGGTTCGCCCATCTCATAGGCCACCTTCTTGAACGACCAGAACTTGGAGTTCTTGTCGTAGACATTGTCCTGGTACACCTCATCGGCCAGCAGCAGCACCTTGTTCTCATGGGCAAACTTAATAATCTCCTCGATGTTTTCGCGGGTAAGAACCTGTCCGGTGGGATTGCCAGGATTGATTACGACCAAGGCACGCGGGTTGCACGTCTTCTTGGCCTCATCGTAGGAACGCTGCAGCTCCTTCCTGCCTAGACTCCAGCCGGTCTCCTCCTCCAGGTAGTAATCTACCTTAGCCATGCCGTATTCAGAGATGGTGGCCGAATACAAAGGGTACTGGGGAATGGGCACCATCACACCTGGCTGCTGGCCACACACTTCGGAGCTGAAAAAAGTAAGTAGGGGTTATCTTATTTTCAATTTTCTAAAATTTGTATTGCCTTTGAACTTACTTGATCATGGAGAGAATGCTCTTGATTCCGGGAGATGCACCGGCGGTTAGGTAGATATCCTGCCAATCGCAAGGAATGCCACCGTCCCTCTTCTCGATGTAGTTGGCCACCTGGCGACGCACCACCTCCAGACCAGCGGAGTCAGTGTACGATCCCACGGATTGACCCTGGCAGCCATCCAAAATGGCACAGGCACGCTTCTTGACATCCTCGGGATACTCGGGTGAGTCGAGTAACCGTTTTTCGAAGGTCAAAGCCATCAGCTAATAAATAAATTGATAAACCCAATTTAGATCAGGAGTCATAAGCCAAGTTTAAGGCAAGACACTTACCTGTCGCAGGAAAGTCAAGGGCTGCTGGCCCATGGCATGGCAATCACCGATGTTGGCACGGATCACCTGGTCGAATGGCTTCTTGGCACCCTGCAATCAAATTCAATGGAAATAGTTCGTAAATTACACATTGTTTACTCGGCGACCAAATTGAATTATGATAGCCCGGACAGGCCGGCAGGCAAGCGGATCAAATGAGCTTTTAATTTGTGGCTTTCAGCCATGCAAATTGGCCTCAAGTGGTTCCAAATCGGAATTAGAGCAGCCCTATAATTGGGGACAAACACACTTGACCAAATGAAATATTCACAATCAGGCCAAAGTAATCGATTCAACTGCAATTCTAATTAAATTTTTATCACTAAATCAGCCATCGAGGGTTAAGCAAATAGTTTGCCATCTAGAAATTGGAGTGCTAGGTTTTAGGGCTAACAAGTTAATGAGTTCTGTTGGAAGTACTAGAGGTGTACGATAATTTTAATCAATCTCAAGTATTGAACTAACTAAGTGCTAGTAAACAGTGGATAGTCCTTTTCCAGCACATTAATAGTTTTCAAAAAGGAGACAAAATCAAGATTTAGGAAGCTTAAAAATGGAAGGCAAGATCAGCTTCGTTCTAATACGAAAAGGAAAGTCGATATACGGAAAAGAAGGATGATTAATATCAGGGAATACCATTACCCATTAGTATTCCTATTCCAATTCCAAATAGGGTTCATTATACCCCATTTCTCGCACGACTACTCGTAGAGTAGAGACAAAAATTCGATGTGGAAACTGTCAACAGAGTAGCAGACAATTTGCAAAGGGGGCACAAGTGCAAGTTGCATTCATTAAAGAGAGCCCGTCGTCTCGGATTCCATATTACCACGCTCCAATGGGCAATTTACCACATAATGTCACGCAAAGGGTAGAGGGAGACTTGTGTGTGTTTTTTGCTGTGGCTAAATAATGGAAATTGCGCCATGTAAGTGAGCTTCATTGACGTCACTTGCTGACTGAATGTGCTGCTTGCCTGACAAGTACATTGGAAAATTAGAGAATTCACAGCTTAACACGGATATATGTTTATCAAGTATTTAAGTTTTTTTTGTTGATATTAAAACAGGTTCGAACATTGATCGCAAAGTTCTCACCGTAGAAACGTGGCATCGCAACACCTTATCGAACTCAGCTAATTATTTCTTTTTTAATTTCGAAAAATACTGATAAAAGCGTTGCCAAGTCGAGGCAAATGGATTGCACCCGTAAATTGACGATGTGTTTGTATTTCTTATGGAAATATCTATAGAAATAAGCTTTATCGCACCTCAAAGTGGACAGTGTAGGTGGAAATATTAAACCTAAAGTGAGGAATATACTTGAAACCTAAAAATATTTACAGCTTCAGAGGTTCTAATAGAACATCCATTAAGAGCTCATAAAACAACCTAATTTAATAATGATATTTATGTTATTAGCATAATTTAGATATGGCTACTAATTAATTAACCATCGCTGTTCCAGCTCATAGAATCATTTCAGATTCTCTTCTATATACTTTTCTTGCCTATTTACCAATACAATCCAATCGTTTCGCACTTGAAATCGTTGTAAACAAACTTTTTGTGCTAAGTGGCTATATAATTGATAACTATATAGTCGTGCAGGTAGGGCCGTATAATCATATGGGCCTTGTATAAAAGGCGTTGGCAACCCGGACTTTATCGCTCAACGAGCCAAAATAAAATAATAATATGTTATAACAATCAATCTAGCGAAGTCTAATGTCAAATGGAAGTGAAAAAAACAAACGGGGGGTTAATATGTTCATATATAATATAAATATTGCATTTAATTATATATAAAATACATTTTAAAAAAATATAAACGAACCCATTAGAAAGCTTTTTCTATTAAATTTTCCAAGATCCAAGTCATTACTATTTAACCATTTAAAATTGACATTTTTCACTATAAACCGAAGAAAATGCAATAAATCGAATTGATAAGAATGTCTGCTGCTGTCAGATGATGAATTTGATTTTCCTTTTATTGGGAACATTGCCAAATTTGTGCACAAGTGTAGGAATTTGATAAAACGCAAAAAGAACAACACAAAAACACAGATTCAGTCGTGCGGATAAGGAAATCAATCGCAGCGGGAAAACTGGGAGGGAAATCAACTGGCTGTCAGCGGCATACACAGAATGTGAAAAGTCAGAGGGACCAACAATGGATTTAAATATATATATATAGATAATACATAATATATATATATAACGTTACGGGTCAACAAAGTTCGTGAAGAATTTTGCCAAACAAAAAAGGAAGAAAAAGCAGAAGAAAACTTTGTATGTACAACATATTTTCGCATAGCTGATGCGCATGTTCGTTCTTTGTTATGATTTTTCACTTTCTCAGTGATAAGAAGAAATCGGGTCCACCCACAGTATCAGTCCGCCCAAGCCAGAATTTCCGCACTTATGTAAGCCAAGTTGAAGGTCGTTCAGTGAACTCGTTAATGGTGTCAGAAATTCAACTTCCACTTCCAATTAAAGTCCAAGAAATACAATTTAGAATAATTAGAAACATTCATTAGCAATTAAGAGCGTAGAACTCGTTATGGAAAATGTTATAAAAAACTGGGTTTTATAAGATGAGTGCTAAGAAAAACGGGTAAGTGGCCTTTGGCGAACTGCCCAGGAAAATATCATTCACCCCGCCGACTAGTACTTAATTTAATTACTTTATTGACTTGTTTACTCTCTCCCTCAACTCAAAGTTCATTTCAAACATTTTCGGCATTATAAAGAATAAATTCCGTTTTAGATAAGTTTTGATAATTTTATGGCCGCTTGATTACAATTTCCTTCAGGCTATCTAAACTTTTGGATTACTTTCGATAATTTTAACTACTATTGGAATTTTTGGTAAGAAATATCCAAAACGTTTTAGTACATCAATAAATGTTATAAGCAAGAAAAAACCCATTTTAAGATTTAGCCCTTAATTTTTCAAGTGTATTCAAAACAAACAAATGCCTTGATCAGCTTTGCTCTCTTCTTTGGTAAACATTTTTGATCAAGCAAATGAAATTAAACATATGGCAAAGAGATATATTCTTTTTCTTATAAGCTTTTAAATTTTGTTGGAAAAATACACTTTGGAACTGGTTTTCTGGTTTCTTAAGAGCTTTTTGTTTTTGCAAGAAATATTCACATATCTTTATCATGTTTTGAAGTGTTTTGCTTTTTTGCGAGCTTCTTTTTATCAAAACAAATTTGAATTACTCAAAACTTAAGAGAGCTCAAGGAATTATAAAACAATGCGGGATAATATTTTATAAAACTGCTTAGCATATTTTTCTGTCTAGGTAAATAAACCAGAATTATGATAATAAAAAGCTATTTTTTGTGGAACCGCTTTGCATGTTTTTGCCATGAATATGATTTGATAGACTTTAATTACTTCTTTTCGTGGGTGTTTTCACTTTTATTTTTGTTGTTTTCAACAGGTGTCCTTGAGAAAGGGGTGGTTGCGATTTACGAGGTGAATGATTCATTGCGCCGTTCTCGCCCATTCAAGCGTGAATTAAAAGAATAAAAGGGCGGCAAAGCGGCAGAAAAACAAACACACAGATGCGGCTCACACTCTATACATGTATATGTGTACATACATACATTACATTCGTGTATATACATATAAATGTATAGCGTGCTTAGACATTAAAATGCGGGCTTTGAATTGCCATCAAATTGAGTGAATCAAAAAGGGGGAATAAAACGCTAGATAATGGCGTCGCATTTATCGCTTTGTTTGGCATTACTTTCTGTATTTCATTTAACTAATATTAGTTTTTTACGCTTACCTTTTCCAGTTCCTTTTCGATTTCGCCCGCACGAATCACCAAAGGACCGCGAACCGCATACTCCATGGCAATGAAGTTGGGATTTATGTTATCCAATTGGAGGGCTTTCGACGACGACGGCATTTTGTGGCTGGTTGAAAAGGAACTGAGAAAAAAAAACAAAGAAAATCACAATTTTATCAGCACTTTGGATTATTTCTTTCTTGTTGGTTGATATTTGTAAATATTCTTAATATCTTTGTGCACTTATTTTGCGAGCGAAACTAACCGGCGGACGTCTAACGGTTGAATGAAATCGCCGCTTTTTCCGTGACGCTGTGACGTTGCTACCGCCGCCGCAGTCGACGTCGTCGTAGTCGTTTTCGCCGCACGTCGACTGACATTGTTGTTGTTCTGCAGGAACGATTTCCAGCGGCGAATAACGTACTGTTGCTGCTGGCGTTGCTGTTGCTGCTGCAAAGCGGCCGAAACTGTGGCAGCAGCGGGTTTAATTAGCATTCGACTCATTATTTCTGCAAGAAAACGAAAAAACCAGTTGGTAATTACTAAAGGCACAGCCCACAGAAGTCAGCGTCTAAATGACAAGAAATTAGCACTACAGCACCAAGAAGAAGAATAAAGGGTGTGTGTGCGTGTATAAGAGTCCAGCGCTCATTTATAAGAGCGGCGAATTCAAAAGCACAGCTGTTATCAATACACCGTAAAGAAGGTATTTATATAAATATGAAATATAATAAAAGTAAAATATATACAATATAAGATATATATAAATGATTAAACTATATTTACTTAGAGCCCCTTACAGTGCTTATGGGCTATATTTAGTTTTCAAGTTGAAGAAATCAATTTATTTTTTTCCGTGATGTATATATTTTATCTTATCAAGTTTAAGACAAGTTATCAGTGACATTTTTAGGGTATATTTATGCCAATCAAAGTAGTTCGTTAATTTATTTATTGGATTTTCGCTTATATAAAAACAGTTAAAAATTAAATATTTATTGAAGCTGTAAATTTTCTATTCAAATTTCCCGCTCTCATCATGCTGCACAGTGTGCATTTTTAGTTAGGACGCAAACCACAACAGTTGCACTTGGGCGGGAATTTAAAATATAAATATTTTTTATAAGAACAAGAATTAATCTTTTATCACTTCTCAGTTTGTAATTCTGCCTGTTGCTATACAGTATTATACATGGGTTATCGCCAGTCCTTTTTTTATTTAATATATAGCATCCACGCCCAAACCGAACTAAAAATGGCATCAAATAAAAGTTACTTTAATGTTCTTTTTTTAACTGAGCCGCTTATCGCAGTGGAAGTTTTTTTCAGAGGCAGTCAACGGATTTTTGGGGCTATTTACTTTGGGATTATGTATATGATTTAATAGCTCTAATTCTTCATAAAAAACTGACGGGATTTAATGGCGAGGGGGGACTATCAGTAAACAGCGTACTTTTGACTTTGAGCTAAATCAACGGAGTTCTTATCAGTGACGTCCCAATTCCCAGCTTACGATTTCTCATCTTTCAATTTCAAATATATATAATATATATTCTCTGATTTTTGCACTTTGAATCGCTAATTGCGTAATGCAAATAGGCAAGAATGAAAAAAAGACAGACAAAGAATCTTTTGGAAACATGACAATGACCAGAAATCACATTACCTCCAACATACTATACTTTTTCGCACTCAAATCAAGCGTCAATCAGCCGCAGATTGTTTGCTTTCTTTTTAGCGACAGGGAATTTTTAGAAATTAAAAATGTACTAAATATATGGCCAGAAAAGTATATATTCTATATATATATACTTATGTATATATTAGGGGTATATAAAAGCCGTTTTGTTTATTCGAGTCAAAGCCAAGAACTCGTTGGGAATAAATTTTCGGTTCGACTTGAAGATTCTTTGGAAACCGGTTGTGGTTTTAATGGTATATATATAGAAGAGCAAGGGAAGAAGTAAAGGGGAGTGAAACCTAAATTTGTGATCTTCAGAGGTGGACAAACAGTGATCTCTAGATAAGTTTAACTAAATGTATAAGAAAATCTAAAAATATACAAGGAACTATAGTTGGTTGCTTTTTAGTTGAAGAGTTTTTGATGTTAATTTTTAAATATTTTTAATATAAATATATCTAAATTTCCTAAACACTACTAGTCTACTAGTGAAAGTATATCTAAATATGTTTGTAAACTTTATTGATTGGAAATTTGGGTTTTAAAGCTATTGATAGTTTAGCATAGAAATCTAAAATTGTAAAAGGGAACACGTGTTAAGATTTTAGGTATCCCATGGGCGTATTTTTATATTATTCATACTATATTTCTTGTGGCTGCAGAACTTTTGAGAGGCACTGTACCCCTTTTGTTTGTGATTTGTTTTGACAACAAACGGCCTTATGCAACGAGCTTTAAAAAAGTATAGAATATTATTCTATGGACTGGGTGCACTTTGCTCCATGGCTATGTGGCCCACACTTTTAGACCCCCGCATTGTGGATTATCAAAAGTATTTGCCCACATCCACATCCCAACTGGATAAGATAGTAACGATAACGAATCCAATTAGAACCAGGCCCTCGGGATTGAGTAACTCTAATAAACGCAGTTATTTGGCAAAATGTCAGCGAAATTATATTGTAACTCGATTGACACGTAGTGGGTGGAAAAAAAGGGGTGTTGTGATGTGCTAATTGGCTTGCTAAACAGCTGTTAACGCCGCACAAATTGAACGCACACAGAAAAAAAAACACGGCACGCAATTCAATTAAAGAAACACGCAAAACGATAAACAAAATCAGGGTATTTACTATTTTCTTATTTTTTGTTTTTTGGGCGCACAAATCACTTTCACTGTCACTTCCTCGCTGCTCCCAATTAGAATTTCTCGGCCACGGTGTTTATATATATAAGTATATATCCACAAAGATATATATTTACGTAGTTCAAGAGCGAAAAAATCGATTTTTCGCTGCACTTTTTAATCGGTTCACCTTGATGGGCGTTATAGGCGTGGCGATTATCTAACGGCGTTTATTGTGATCCCAAGAAACTTGCATAAACTTATTAATAAACTTATAATACACTATATACATATATTTATCTTTGTATATACCTAATAAATGTGTGTGTGTGTGTGCGCGCGATGTGCGGTGTGCGAGAGTTCCAATCAGAATCGAATCAGAAAATCAAAGCTCCTTGGCCGCTAGACGCAATTAAACAACTGAAACTGAAACCGAAATCGAAGTGCTGGCAATGTTTTTTAGTTGTTGTCTTTCGCTGATTTGCCGACAATATGTTTTTTTTATTGTTGCAACGCGCGTGCAAAAGTCACGATTAAGTTTTTGAAAAAATATCACGCCTGCAGCCCTGGCATTTAAACTTTCGATACACGACGATAGATCGATAAGCATTTACAAGTTGGCAACATCGGAAAGCTCTTGAAGTATTTTGTGAATAACGGAAGTCATTTAAATGGGTCTTATTTGAGATGATCATATGGTTACAATTTATGAAAATATTCGTAAATATTTTTTAAAGATTTATATTTGTTTTTTCTTAACACTAATAGTTCAAATATCTATATTTATAATACGCAAATAATATCGTAAGCTTATATCAATTTTTACTCACCTTTTCTTTTTATCACCTCTGCCAAAATTCTTGTATGATTTTGCAAAAATAAAGATTTTGTTATGAATTTAACAGTATTAAAAGAGTTAGCACTTTAAGATCTAGAGCTCCATCTGCGTGTTCCACGTTTATGCCCTGCAGCCATAGGATTCCATTGAGGAAGAGCCCTCCAATGTCAGGTCCTTCTATCTTCAATTTCTATATTTTCGACTACTTGTAGTGTCGATCCAGTCAGGAATTTCTAATATAATGTTAAATTAAATGAAATAAGTCATTGTAAAATGAAGCCTACTTGAATTTATAGAATGTAGTGGAAGGTTTTAAGATCACAAATCAGAATCAAATTCTTATGGAGACTTTAAAACCCCGCAGTTTTGGACCTGTTAGTCCACATTTCATTAGGATACATTTTCTTCCCATAGCAAACTATATATTTTCCAATAATAAACTATATTTTTCCAATGTTTTATTTCACTCGAAACTTAATGCTAGTCAAAAAAAGGTCTTCTAATTCTAGAGCTATATACAGAGAATATCTTTTGGATAGGGAAAGGTGTAAGAGGTAGACCCTCCCATAACCGTCGACTACGTGCTGATGCCCATAATGGACTCAATGGAGAAGCTCAGCTTGGGCTTCTTTGCGGAGACAGAGGATGGCGGAGGTGTAGCAATGGGCGTGCTCATCATATGATTTGTGGGCGTTATAGTAAGCGGTATCGTCGGCGAGACTTGGTGATAAATCTGCTGCTCCTGATGGACCGCGGCGGCGGCAACGGTGGCAAAGTACAAAGCGTTGCCGCCCAGTGTCGCCTCCATGACATGGTTCAGTTCCGGATCGGCGAACGCCCGTCGTTTGCGCATGCGCTCCATCAATGGCGAACTGAACGTGGGAAAGCGCTGCTTGTATTCTGTAAGAAAGGATGAAAAGGTAATATATCCAAAATTAGTGAGAGTTACGGTACGGGGCGTTATCACTACAAATTGCCGCGATTCGTTATGAATGGGCACTACAAATTGAACCCATTTATTATTGGGTAATCCGAGACACGCGACTCCTAAGGCCAGACAGCCTGGCACCGTTTGGTTTTTGATATTTTCTTTTGGGATCACCACTTATACGGAAACCAGATGGAAAACCCAAAAGAAGTCAATTGCTGTTGCCACATTTTACTATTTTACTATTTTTCTTTTTCTTCCCGAAGAGGTTTTTCCGTTTTGGTCGCGTCTCAGTTTACCGAATGCGAGACTCCCTCAAGTGATTGGAAAATGTGCATACACACACACACACACGCACACTTCGAGGCATCCGATTTCAATTGTTTTTCGTCAGTCGAATAATTGCTATTGTTATTGTTGCCAGTGTGCCAGTGTTGTTGGGCATCAGTCATTTCCTGTCCACGTCCAAGTCCATGGGCAGAGGAGAAAAGTCGACGGAGACGGGTGAGGATCTCCGATTACGAACGGGCCAGACAGTCTGGCACCGTATGGAAAACTCTGGGAGTTGGGGGAGGGTCTACTTATCATTTCAGCTGGACTATCTATATAGTTTTTTATGACCTCTTCAGTAACTTCCAAATTGGAAATTCTATGTTTGATTTGGAAATATAATGGTAAAGCAACTTTTCCCGAAACTTCTCTTTTTAAATATTCTAAAAATTATTTCCCTATTTTGTAGAGATTCAAAGATGGATCTTAGTCCTAACTACTAACCTTCCATGGCAGCCGTGATATGCAGTGTAGACTGCTGCAAACTGCGTAATCTCTGCTTGTAGATCCTCTTTTGGGCCATCAGGGCCTGTCGCGTGACGGATGAAGATGTGGTGTTAACGAATGATGGAGGATGTAGCTGGGACTGCACTGGCGGTGGTGAAGTGGAGGTTAAAGAATCCTCACCCTCGCTACTGGAGGTAACATTCACAGACGGCATAGCTGATGACTTCGATGAAGATGACGTGGTAGCCTCTAGGGCCTCCATGGTTTGCTGACGGCGCAGAGCCACCTGGGCGGCCATAACTCGCTGGCGATCCACAACCAATTGGCAATTGGGACAGCAACATTCACGCCAGCGACAAAGTCGCTTGTGACCTTTGACACAGGAAATAACACCATGATTACGACACCTGGCACACTTGGGCGTCCTTAAGAGACGTCGCTCCCGCTGGCTAATCCTGATACTCGCGTCCTTGCTCATCTCGACTTGCTGATCGACTAAAAGGATACGGACCGGGGCGCGAACATTTAAACACTGGCAACCGCAGCAGCTACTTGTCGCCGTCAGACAGTCTGGCAGCGTCAAGTGGTTTTTGTTCTTGTTTAACCCAAAATCCCAGGGGATCCGAGGTAGAGTCTGCTAGTCTGCTAGTCTGCTAGTCTCCATGTAGCCGAGGGATAGGGATCGGTAACGGGCCCTCGTCTGCCATTGGCTGCTAATCGCTGGCTCTAAATATAGAATATCCAATGGCGGCACAGATGTCTCGCATCAGCAAACGAAAGATACATTCTGCTACAGGATGATCTCTGTAGAAGGGACATGAAATGTGGGTAATATTTAATATATATTTTTTAAGTTTTAAGAACTATTTAAAATAATATATAAAGAGGCTTCCCCTCAAAAAAACTTTAAGAAAAAGACTTCATAATTCTTTAGATCTCTTCCAGTTAAACTTAACGAACTTCCACTGTACTTATCCCCATCTGAAACATCTTTGTTTGGACTCTGTATTTCGTCAAAGTGCATATTGATTTCTGGCCGTCTTCCTTTAATATCTTTATTCATATATTTGACTCAATTTTTGGTTTACTTGTATAACAATTTGTAGCATTTTTTCTTATATAGCAAGTACATACATATATTTCCGTATAAATACAAATTCAACACGAGTTTAGCTTTATCATTTCATTAGCTAATAGTATGTAAAAAAAGAAAAAAAAAATTCTCAGCGGTTTATATACTAAGTAAGTTAGTTTTTTTTGTTTTTTTTTGGGGAAGGACTTTCCATTTGATGCCTTTTAAATGCCTTCTTTATATATGTATTTGTATATATAGATATATATATATATATATATATTTTCTGGAACAGTTCGTTTCACAATTTGTATTTACTTGAAAATCTGTGAAAAATAATGTCCAACTTGAGGCGATTGTCAAGGTCAGCCAGCTCTTAATTAGGATATGTAATCGAAATGTTAGAATGGAAAACTTCAGTTTCTCAAACCGAATAAATATCATCTCACTCCGCCTATACAATTGTGAAACGCACTGTCCCCTCTGTCATATATAGTATATAATCATTTTAGTAAGTGTGACTTTAAAAAGATGACTATTAAGAGGAGTACATAGATTAAAGCTTCAGCTAAGAGTGTGCCAGGTTTTTGATTCGATTTGTTTTGGTCAGAATACAGGTGCAAGTTTAGGAAAGGACTGGACTAGTCATTCAATTCGAGTGCAATCTATTATATATAGTAAACTATAACGAATCCAGTGGACAAACTGGTTATTGGTAATCTTGTAACTGGGGTCTGGGGTCGGGGTCCAACAATGAACTGTTAATTATAGTTTGATAAATGTAATTATAATTATAAATGCTTGCAAAGTTATTGTCCTTTACTGTTTAAAAAACGCTCTCTAAATGGAAATCTATATGTGTGTAAGTGTCTGTGTCTGTGTGTGTGTGTGTGTGTATATATTTCCCCATTAAAAAGTTTTTGATCCTTAAACCAACTAAATCTAATTACAAAAAACACGCGGCTCTACAAAAATTCGAACGAACGGAAATCACAAAAGTACAAATACATTATATATATAATATATATATAATTATTATAATTATATAATATAGTACACAGACATAGATATATATATATCTTGGCTAAGGATTGCAACTATCGTAAATACTTTGATTACCATCGATCGATACGACACTCTGAATTCATTTCATTTGCTATTTTATCATCATATCACAATGCTTAAAGGGCTCAAACCGCCTATCGATTTTCGACTTCGACTGGGTTACAAATTCAACAACGATTGATTGCCAAACCGACGATCTATCTATAGAGTTTTTTTTAATATAACAGGCTCACTGGTCGCTAAACTATATCATACAGCTCGCGAAATAATTGTAATTACTTTGCTTTCTCTCTGATATCCTTTTGGGTTTTCTTTCAACGTAAACTTACACTGAGGAATAGTAAAATGGGAAATTTGAGATCTCAAGTGGCAGATGATCTTCGAATATGAAAATAATTTGAGTACTGAAATGTAAACGAGTAAGATAAACATGACCTTTTAAGGGTCTTACTCTAACATATTTCTTAAGATGAGTTTAAAGAAAGATTAAAATATAGTTTATAAACTTAAGATAAGTTTTAGGAGTTCGTTTTTGAAGGAAATCAACTTTTTGGTAATGGTTTTTGCTCTAAAAGTTTCACTAAAACATAAAATAAATCTATAAAAAAACTTAAAACTATTTAAAGTATATTAAAATATCCCAGTAAATCTATCTCCAGGATCTATAAGCTTTAGAAAGCCTCCAATAAATCCTAAAATACAATTATTTCCCTTGCTGTATGCGACAAATTTATAACAATTTTCAAGTGTGACTCTCTCAGATCGAGGCTGCATTATCTACCAGACATACCAGATATACTCGTATCAATAAAAATCTTTACATAACAATTAGTGCGCGACAATATTGGTATATATAGTATATATATATATATATACATATGTATATATATATATAACTAGTTAATAGGCTCGTTTGTCCTTTGGTGCGGGTTTTTAGATTACATGGCTCTATATAATAATACTTCTGGTTGTGTTCTTGGTAAGCAGTAGAAAAGTAAGAAAGTCTCATGGCTAGAGTGTGGTAAATGCAATTTTCCACAAGGTTTTCTGTGTGTTTTCTTTTTGATTTTCTTTCAATAAGGTATCTCTTTCGAAAAAGGGGTTTTTCCAACTAAATGGCATCAAATTTAGTGCCAGCGATGCGGAAAATTTCGCAATTGATGTAAGCCGACGATGCCGACATTGCCGCTTGTGTATCCTATGATCGTCTTTTGATCTCCACTTTAGACGATGCTGTTCCGCTTGGCGGTGGACCGCTGCAGAGTGTTTTGCATGGCAGCCACCACCGCCTCGGCGCCGCCCGTAAAAATCGGCTGATTGACCGCCCGCCGTAGGACATGCCACATGGCCACGGGTTTCCTTAGCGACGAGAGCATCTGGTGCCAATGACGTAATCCTTTGCCAACCGCACAGCTGCCAGCCACGATGTGTCCCAAGGGGGTCACCCCCTTTGCTGTCACTCCGAATACAGTCACCCGGAGTTGAGTAGTGGTCAGACTGGGTGGCGGCACACTGAAGATCATCGACTCATTGAAGATCGGACTGCGATCCTTGCGCTTTAGCGAGGTGCGCTTCTTCAGCACCTTGCGATCGTTGTCCATCAGGTAGACCTGTTGACGAGATAGAAAACGTGGTGATGAACCGATGATCATTTTTTGTAAGAGTTAAGTAACATAATATATTATTGTCCAAAAATGTACTCGTTTAACTTTGATTGCAGATCTACAATGAATTAAATTACGATCTTAACGAGGCATTACATTCCATATTCCGACCATTTTTGGCTTCGTTATGAGAAAAATGCTGTCACTTTGAGGGAAATTTAGGAGAACCCAAAAATCGCATTTTTGATAAGGGAAAAACGACAAAAATTTGACATTTCAAACTGTGCATGCGGTTTTGATAAGAATAAGAAAACAAACTCAGCGCGGTATTACTTTCAATATTTGGACCGTTTTTGGCCAAGTTATTAGCAAAATACTTTCCTTTCGAAACGGGAAAATCGGCTCTAGTCGAGTTGCATTTTTCATAAGGGTAACATCATCTCTTTGTTTGCGAAACTGGGTCAGAAATTGACTTTCAATAATAACCAATAACCAATTAACCAATAACAACTTTGTCATTTCTGGCTAAAAGAGTCTACAACGGATGGCGTCCAAGTCGTAATTGGTAATAAACCAAAAAGAGGATTAACTTCCTAACATTGACTTTTTATAGTCGATATACAGCTTAATCTGAAGAAAACCCAACATAGTTCCCGCGTCTATGAGCTACCATGTAAGGCTTAAGTTAATGGCAACAAATAATTCAGGAAAGTAAGCCCTTCCGATACCCAAAACTTGAAAAATCTTAAACATTTTTACAAATTTTTATGTAGAAAAATATTAAATTAATTCAAATTTTAACGTTTTCTCAAAAACCAGTAAAAATTTTCAACATTAACATATGAAAAATTAAAAAATCAATCGAAAAAAAAGAGTTTTATCAGTTAACTTTCAAATGTTAACGACTAGTTAACATCAAGATAGGTAATTCCAAGTTAACTGAAATTTTTTGCTCTCCGCGGTACTTATAATTCCCAAGTAGTTCTAGCAGAAATGTTGTGACTAGAGCGCTGTTGGCCGGTGAAAAATTAGTCACGTCATTTTTGTGTGTGTGTGTTTGTGTGCTTTCAGTGCTTCCAAGTGCCTCCAAGTGGCCCGATGGTGCTACCTATCAGATTGGTGGGACCTGGACATGGCCTCCATGGAGGATGCAGTGCATCATGGACTTTGTTGGGAATCCATATTCTGGACTCTGGATGTGGTAGTGTCACCTGGATATGGCCTCCATGGAGGATGCAGTGCATCATGGACTTTGTTGGGAATCCATATTCTGGACTCTGAATGTAGTGGTGGTACCTGGACATGGCCTCCATGGAGGAAGCAGTGCATCATGGATTTTTTTTGGGAAATCAAGGTAGGTGGGAAACTTTTTTTATTTTTACTGTATAAGCCGAGGGGCATATTTGGCCCAAAATCCGCAGACCTTGCAAACGGCTTGCATGCCGCCAATGTAATGTGGATAATTTAAGAATAAGTTAAGTTAAGTTTGCCGTGCAGTCATCACTTAGCATTATTAACCAAGTTATATGCCAAATACTATGGCTTTGGGGTAAAATCAAGAATGATCCAAGTTTTAAATTTTTTGTACAGCTCTGTCAAAAATTCTTCGCTAAAAGCACTCACCTTGACGAAGATGCTGTGCACCGATTCCGAGGACTCTGGAGCTGGTTGCTCTCCATCCAGCTTGAGATTCCTGGCCTTGACCACCACAATGGTTAGACGTTCCGCCGTGGGCAAGTAGCTAAGCGAGAACATCAGTTCACCCCAACGGGCGTTGCATTTGCGGGAATCCGAAAGTGGTATCCATGTGGTGATGGGTCTTGGCATCTCCCCTATCTCCATCTCCGCCTCTCCAATCAGCGTGTGCGCTGGGCCATTATGGTACAGATGAAACCACAAGGAGTGACGCGCCTGTCGCTTCTGCAGCCAGAAATTGAAGCTTTCGTTGTAGTTGGGTGTCAGGGCAGCCTTGACCACCTGGAGTCCATGGGAAAAATGTAAGAAAATGTGAAAATTTCATGAAAAGCTATTAATAAATTTCTCCCACCTTAGTTTGCATGGCTCCGGGATGATCTGGCACCAAGTAGATGCGCACAAAAGTGTCCAGCGATTCCACGGCGAAAGGACACAGCAGTCCCTTGGCCTCCAGGACACTAACAGTCAGCTCCATGCCCTCATTGCTAATGCTGTTCCTTTACAGAAAGTGCAATAAATATGTTAAATATAGGATCTTAAAATCAAAAAACATTTTACTTACTGGTCATAGTTAAGGCCAACGCATAGATATCCGGTTATCTGGGTGTAGGGCTGATCCAGTTGATCCAAGAATATCGTGGAATCCGAGGTCACAGAATCACAGGAGGTGGCTCTTTCCAGATTGATTCCCTCCACTGAACCGGCAGCCGAACCCGAACCAGAATCCAGTGATACCTGTGAGCTATTCCTTCTACCCAAACCCAGACTCAAAGTGGAATCCTGTCGTAGTAAAGATCTTCCGAATGACCAAGTTCCATTGCCATTCCCGTTGACATGGCCAGAACCCGATCCCGATCCATTGCCATTGACCAACGGACTATGGACACCTATTTTCCTGAAGAGATAATCCTCGGAGATGGTCTTTTGCAATAGATGCGGACCCTTGACACGCTGAGAGAGACCAGTGAAAGGATTCGTGGTGTTGTGGAGTTTCAGCAATCTGCTGGACAGGCTTTGGGTTTCCACAAAGGGATTGCCATTGTGATGGGTGGTTGGAGTTTCCTTAGCAGCCGGGGCAGTTGGGGGAGCTGTAATCGGAGCTTTTGGGGCAGTGGTAATAGGAGGACTTGGACTTTCAGAGATCGTGGTGCTTTGTAGGGAAACAACAGCAGCATTCAAGGGATCGGATGGAGGATTACTGGGAATCTGTTCCGTGGATTCGCAAAGGAAAGGATTTGTGCTGGAGTTTCTACGCTTCAAGGCGGGAGGTTTCCTTTCATTCTCCAGCTTTGGCTTCTCCACCTGACCACCTCCATTGATGCCCTGCTGCAGGGACACCTGTCGCTTGGCAATCGGTCTGGGTATGGCTGTGCCTGACATGTTCACCGACACTGAAGTGGTGAGCCGTGGCGGAGGTGGTGCCTCCAATGGCTGTGGCAGAATACCATGACCATTACCAGATCCACCATTCATCCGCAAACAGGAACGACGCTCCTGATCAATGGGAGTCACCATCTCACCCGGCGTGTTGACCTCGTTCACTTGGCTAAAAGAGAAGGTCACCGTCTTAGCGGCATTTGCGGCACCAAATGGAGTCGGCGCCGGTCGATTGGGCGGCGGCGGAATAATAATATTCGAATGGGGAAGGGTCCACATAGGTGTAGTGGCCTCCAGGCCGCTAGATGATCCGGTTATTGAAGTCGCACCGCCACCGTTCATCAAGAGCAAATGCGTCTGCGCCGTCTGCTGGGAGCGATTGTAGTCCTCCTTGTCGATGGTATCGAAGCGCTTGAAACTGCCACTGGTGCTCAGCAGGAACTCGGAGCCAGATTGGATCTGTAAGTGTATATATATTAATAATATTATAATGATATAATTTTCTGTACTTACACTGGCCATATAACCATTAGCATGGAAGAGCTTCTGCTTGTGGTTGGACAGTCCGATCTTCTCCTCTTTGCTGGATCGCATCCGCATCCAGTTGGCGGCCCTTGGACCAAGGCAATGACAGGCGAACAGGATGCCCAGGATGAGAACTGCCAGGAGCAGTAGCGCCAGGGTAATGGTGAAGCTCATCATAGCCAGCCGTGTCTTACTACCAATTCAGATTCATCTCTCCTTTCAAGCTGATGAAAGTGAAGGAAGATCGTGGCTAACATCAGAAATCACTATCAATCAAGTTGCATTTCTCAATTTTCCCTGGCAAACAGTGACTCATCTTGCCACCGTTTATCTTCTCCTCAAAAAACGAAAATAAAACCCAAATGTTTTCATCGGAAAATGATGACAATGGGAGAGGTGAGTAGGCGGCGGTGGGGGGTTTTTTTTTGGGTATTTTAGAGATTTGGAAAACACTTTCATCTCGCATCGTTTTACACTCAGCAATTTGCCTCATCATGGCGATGGCGGGGGCGTGTGCATATACTATGTACTTTAGGGGCGTGGACAGGTGCTCGTTCTCGTTCTCAATCACAAACTTTGACAGTTTTTCAATTGAATTTGTAACCAAAGACGCAGCATTGCCACTTCAAAGGGAGAACGAGGAGGCGGCCCTTCCACCATATGACATGACAATGGATCATTCTGTTGACAGGCTGCCGAAACTCTTTATCACCACAGCGTTATCATCCGCTTCGGGCTGACGTCGTCAGCTCACTCAAAAGAGCTTAGGTAACTTGGAATTTTGCTACTTAAAACGGATTAAACAGTTGACAGTCTTTAAAGCGAACAAAGAACTGGGTAAGAACTAAGTTTGCTTTTAGTTTTAATACGATTATAGTTATCCTTGAAATATCCTTGGAAACACACGTTTATCCCAGCCAAGCCGGACTGTATTCCCTAAGCCATGTTATTTATTTCCCTCATTTTCTGCTCGCATTAATCTGCTCGGTAATTCCAGCTAGTGCATCGCATCCAGTTCATTGAGCTGGCCATTAAATCGGCTTAATTATATGCCTCGGCATAAGTGCATTACATTAAAGTAGCAGCAAGTCGAGGGTGGCCCATTAAATACCCTGTAATGAGAGATTCTGGCCACGGAAAGCAGACAAACCTGCGCAAGTGGTAAGGGCACACCCTGTGATTAAAGTGTGTAAAGAGCGCTTAATTGGGCGTTCACACTCTTGCTAGGCACTGAAAGAAAATACTCTTTTAAGGCAGAGCTAAGTAGGGAAATAGGAAACTCTTAAAGGAAATTCATTATTCTAAGGGAAGTTCAAGTTTGTAAAACAAACAAGCTAAAGAAAATGTCAAGACTTTCCCAGGAATGCCAACCACAAAGGGTACACCAAACCTCTGCCTTTCAATGCAATAAAATGCCATAATATTCTCTGAAATTACGGGTAATTTCCTTCGTAATTGGCCATTAAAATATTTGGCCAGTGTAGTGGCAAGTTTGGTCGCACATCGCCGTGGCTTAGTAGGACTTTCAGCCGGGCCAAGAGGCAGCAGCAGCAGCAGCAACAGCAGCCAGCAGAAGTGCCACTTTTCATTAACCTACTGCGAGGTCATTCCACTGCCTTTGCTCTGTCTTTTGTTGCAGCAGGTGCACAGCCACACTCACACAGCCGCACTCTTACGCACATCTACCGATATCTACTATATAGTATATATACTATATATATAGTTATTGAGCCTAAAAAAGTGTCAGCTCGAATTAGCCAGAGATGACCTCTTTTTGCGGCCTCAAAAATAGGACAAACGATGAACAAAATCCACGTTAGTCACGTCAGCGAGAGACAACTGTAGCCCTTAGCCCATTTCTTTCAAAAAAAAAAGAAAACAGGAAAAAAGCAGAAAAATAATAAAGAAAGAAAAACAAAAGAGCAGAAATCAAAAAGTTTTCCCTGTGAAATGAAAAGTGAAAAGCGGGCGAAAGTCAAAGTAATCAGAAATGAGGAAAAGGCAGGAGAGATTGGAGGACCAAGATAAAAGGCCAAAAATCTAGAGCAACACACAGACACACACACACACACTCTCGCACACAGAGACACACAAAATCGCAGTTCATTTGGATTTTCCCATTTGCCATTTTCCAAACCAAAAACAAGAAGCAATTTCTTACCTTATTTAAGAAGATTTTTCATTTGGCCACTCTGTTTAACAACAAGTTTTCGATCACTTTGATTTAACAATAAAAATAACAATAACAACAAATGGCTGAGCTGCGGAAAGTGGAAGAGCAGGAAGCGGAAGTGCGACCGGAAAATTCGCTCATTTTCGTAGACCGTTCGGTGCCAAAACTCGCGGCCAACTGGGCGAAAGCTGGCAAAACAGCAACAACTTTGGTCCACTTTCGCCACTTTTCACTTTTTTTTTCATCTTTCAAATTGGTTTTAGAAACTTTAAGCTGTGCTTTTGTCCTATTTTCCTGGTTTTTGGTCTCAATCAGAAGCTTTACTTTGTCCTATTTTGGGACTTTGTCTTGATTTATGGATTTGTCTTAGCTGGGACAAGTTCTGCTATAAAGGATAATTATGGCAGAGAAGCTATAATTATATTGCTAAGCCAAAACTCAACAAAGTGCTATAAAATAGGTAGGAAAGGCTGTAAATGTGGTGGAAAAGGCTATAAATTAGCCATAAATGAGTGATGAGGACTAGCAAAGGTGAGCTTTTTATTGAGAAATGAACCTAGTTTTTATATTAAATAATATTATATACGAAAAAGTAAAGTAATTTTATGGAAATTTATAATGTAATTATGAATATATTTCATAAGAAAATACCTACAAACTTCTTTACTAATCTTTAACTTTTATTTTAAGTCTTATTTTTCCTACAAGAAAGTGAAAAATATTATCATCTATAAATTTGGTAACAATATTTAATCATTTAAATGTAAAATATTAAAAACTTTTATTTAATATTAAACCGCAAAACAAATATTTAAAAAATATATAATATTTCTTAGATATTTTCCAGTTAGCTCGTGTCACGTGCTTCCACCCTTCGCATCTCTTTCACATTCCATTGCTAAAGCAGGGGAAAGCCCAGCATGGAAGGCAAATAAAATATAGCTTTACCGTTATACCAGTACCTGAACAATGCATTCGGAAAGAGCTGTTAGACACAACCGGCTTCGTGTTGACTAGGTACACTCGCTGATAATGCTATCGTACAGCATCCCCTGGCTATGTTAACACGCTGTAACCGTACCTTAAGCCATGTTAACTCAATAACAGCGAAACTTCGTGTGGTGCCCCGTGATGTTAGCCGTTTCTCCTCACTGCAAACGTTGGGGAAGGTTCTGTGGATCGAAAGCTGTAGAACAGTTTGACCTTACTCAATGTTACTGCACTCCCTAATCCTGGAATTTTAACATTTGCCGAATCGCTTTAAGCGGATTAAGAAAAAGCGAGGAAAAAAAAAAGAAATAGAAACGATAGCGAGAAATAGTCAAAAAGGGAGGAGGAGGGTTTTTTTTTTGGCAGTAGGTTGAGGGGCTGGTGGGCTGGTTGGCTGGTTCTTAAAACCTGAATAATAGATAGATACACACACAAGGGTCGGCCTTTCGGCCGATAATGGCTTTAATTCGTGGTCAATCTAGCGTGACTCCCTAAAGGATGCTCGGCGCGAAATGTTTTTACATCTCTCTCTCTCTCTCTGTCGGCCCCGAAGCGGCTAATAAATTTCACATTTCGCAACTTGCCGCATTTTGATTTTGCGCCCATTACGCAATTTTTGGCATGGCGAAAATCCAAAAACCAAAAAAAAACAACAAAACCCTCCCCACCACTCTGTAGCCTTTATCCTAATTTTGCGCCACAAAATGGCCAGAGAGGAGTGACGATTAAAAGTACACTCAGCTTGGATAATTTTCACAGAATTATTTCACGAAAATTCCCCATCGACGACAGGCAGCAATCAGCAGATTGTTGGCCAAATCAAATTGCTTTCAATCGACACTTTGCCAATGATATTTCCACCGGACAAAGGCGAGGTTATTCTCAACTCTCGATTGTCGGTCAAATCTTGGTTGGCTCTGGTTAGAAAAAAAATCCAAAAAAAAAAAGGAAACATCAAGAGAGAAAATTAAAATAAAAACCGCATTCGAGGCTAAAATGAAACAATAAAAATGAGTGCTGAGCGGGAAGCAGGAGCAGGGGTGAAAAGGTCTAAATTGAAATGAAATGCAATGGAATGAAATAAAAATAAAAATATAAAAAAAAATACAAAAAACAAATAGAAATTAAAACAAAAACACAGAGGGCATTCCCGAGTTGAAGAGTCAAAGGCAAAGCAAATAAATTGTGCAAATTGTGGTAAATTGCAACTAACACAAACAGAAAACTATGTTGCAATTGCGCTTCTGTAGTGCATATATATATATATATATATATATATATATGGTATATAGCATGTATAATAATGCCAAAATGCCGAAATCATTTCAAATGCAATTTCAATTGAATTTGCAAACAGGCTTTTCCTGCCTCCCAATCCCCGTGAACTGGCATTACGAAAAAGTTTTAGGCCATACAAATAACGGCAGCCAGCAGCCAGCAGCCGCCACCCGCTACTCCCCCAATCGAAAGCCTATCAACGAGCCCGTCAATTCATGGCAAAATATTGCACAAATGTTAAGAGACAGGAACCAAAAAAGAAAAAAGTAGAGAGAGAGAGAGAGGGTAAAGTTAAGTAAAGGAAAGGGGTAAAAACGGTGCAGGGGAGGGGGGGCAAGCGGTTGGAAAACATGAAAAAGGGATTGGGATAACAGGGCGGATGGGCGATGGGCTAGAGATGCAGCGAGCCTGCATGGAAACTGGTTGGCCAACAAAGTTTTCCACCCTTTCTCTTTTTTTTTTTGGAGAGGAGGGGAGACCTTCCAATCCCATTACCATTTTCCAGCCAACCCAGCAGTTTCCCCAACCCCAAGCCCCCCTCCCCCCCCTTTCAATTGACAGTCCAATTAACCGGGAATTACCCGAAGTATGTGGGCCCGTGGAAGTAATCCCCATTCAACGTCCCGAGTCCCATTTATCGCAACTCAACTGGGCCCCTTAGAAGTGTTGTAATTACATAAGCACTGCAATTTCTTCTTGTTTTTCCACAGCTGTTTTTTATATATATATATAGTTTTTTTTCTTGTTTTTCTTGCAGTTTGCAGTTTTGCAGTTTTCGCCTGTTTCCCACCCGCGCGGAATTGTTATAATTACAAATGAAAGGCTTTAAAAAGGAGAGCGGCCAACACTTTTTCCATCATCAACTCAGTAAGCATAATTAAAACAGCACAAACACTTTAACTATATAATATAAATACTATATATATACTATATATAGTAGGTATACTATACAAATGCAGTTCATTTGGCCAGGACTGAAGTTCAATGAACTGTGGAAGAGATTTTTAACCAACTGCAGAGGGATTTTGTCCATCAACCCTTTTGTCTGGCATAATTATAAATAAATGTTTTCACCCACAAAAAGGAGGTATGGGGGTGTAAGGAGCACAGGAATTTGTGCAGCTTAAATAAGTGCTCGGAAAATTGAGTTGACTTTTCTCCGATTACCAAAAGATTCAATAAAGTTTCGGTTGACACATTTTTATGTTGATTCTCCCTTGGCAGCTGCAATCATAATTAAATATTTGCTGGAAAGTAATTACAAAGATTAAAAGATGTTGCAGATGAAATAAATAAGTTAACTATTTTAGTGGGAAATATTGTAATTTTCCACATCATCGTTTATTGGATTAAAAACAAGCAATATGAACCCGAAACATTGTGTTGGCTGGGGAAGAGCTTACCTTGTCCAGTTTAACAAAAGGTTCATTGAACTTCCTGTCACTCAAAGCTGTCGTTGACGTTGTTCTTTCTGGTTTTTTTTTTTTTTTTTTTTGAGAAAAGTGTCAACGGCAGGAAGCGTTTTTTATTACTTCCGAATTTAATCAATATTAGGGAGGAGTTGCAGGCATTACAAAAAGTTGGAAATTTCATTTTCAAACTGAGAGCAAAAGTAAGTAATTTAAGTTTCTTCGCTGAAACTTTGGCTAAGTGATAAAGTGTCAGGGAAGTGGCCCAACAATTTATCACCGAACCTTATTAAATTAATTGTTAAAAACTTAAAGCAAGGCCACAGTTACTATTTAAGTTTAAATCAGAGCCTCACCTTATCGTATTTAACTCCGAATAATTGTAGGTAAGTAAGGCAAATACAAGGCTCTTAGAAAATTGCTTGCATTTTCCATCTATTCAAAGGTGTTTTTAATCCAATGAGTCTGAAGGAATGTCCGTTTTCATTTCATTGTGCAATAAGTATGGGCATGGGAATGGGAATGGGAAAATTCCAAAACACAAACGCCTCTTTTTCCCCTTTTTAATTTTCATCCAAAAGAAACAGAAAAGCAAACTAGTAATGTAAGTTTTCCTCTGCTCAAAAGCGAATGAATATTACAAAAATTTTCTGTAAATTCAATGACGAGCCCACACACAGAGCCCTATATATTTTTTAAAGACCCCGAGAAAGCCGGCTCTGTGATAAGCTTTCAGGGCATAGGCGGGATTAGTTTCCATTCATGATAATTCCTTCTTTTTTCCTTACCCTACCCTAGCCCTTTTCCATTTTTCCAGGTTTTCCCATCTTTTTTTTTTCTTTTTTTTTAAGCTCGTTGCTCGTTTTTGCGTTCCACACTCAGGAGTGGCAGCACCCTTTTGGCCAGGCTTACCTTACCTCGCCACATGGCACAGACAGAGAGAGACGACGGCGTGGGATGCGGTCGGTGGCTTTAAGGGTTGAGGGCTGAGGGTTAAGGGTCTTCCTCCCGCTTGGCTGCTGCCCCCCCCTCCCGGAGGCCTTCATTATAAGCGTAATCTAGTCATCGTGCCTTCAAACTCGTCCATTGATGCAGTGACTCTTTGTGTCTTTCATTGCCAGGCACACACACACACACCCCACGCTAGCACACATATGCAGGCGGAAAAAAAATGGCTGCACCGAATGCGGGTTAATCTGGGCTTATTTCAGATTCCCCATAAAAGCCGGCTTAATGTATTTTTAATTGGTATTTTCCACAACTATATGTGGTAAGTAGTTCAACGTACTACAGTCAATATGATGTTTTTTAATGGTTAATACTTATAATATTTTTTATGAAATCAATCATGAAGATATCACAGACTTAGCAAGGGACACACTGCGTATGAGTGATAACATTGTTGATAGGATTTTTGTGGGCAAAGTTAAATAAATTTTATTTTGGCATAACTTTCATTTCCCAATTATTCACTAACCTAATTGTTTTAGTTTTCGCTTATAATTTATTCCATTAAAAAAATGCAGCTAATTAATTTAATAATTTATGGGATAAAAGCAATTAAGAAAGGCAATCATTGGTTAGTTCAATTTTTATTATGTTTATTAATGCTGAAAATGATTAAATTTATAAACTAAAATAGCTACTA